ATCAGCCCATAGGCAGGGTTTTAAAATGGCAACATTTTCACAAAAAATTAACTTTTGAAAATGTTCCGGAAAAACTAACACTTTTATATATAAATTAAATTGTAATACACTTTATCATGGAAAAAAAATGTCGAACTTTATTTTGTCTTCACAGTGAAAATAGTTACCGAATACTATTTTTGTGTGAAAATTCTCAATTTTGTATTTTATATTTTTAATTATATTATGCTATAACTTTTTGAAAAGTGTATGGATCAATACATTCTTTTTATGAGAAATAATATTTATATCCCTCTTTAATCCAACATACTTTATCTTAATCAGGATATAAATAAGGAAATAGAAGATAATGTAGCTTTTGGAATAATCCACCAATTTTTTAAAATTAAACACTATCTAAAGATTTGCATCGAAGCATTTTTTATGATAATGATTTTAATCATCCCCTGTACTGGTTTTTTTTTTCATATAAAAAAGTGAACAAAAAATATATTTTTATTAATTAGAATTCCCATAAAAAATTATTTTACCTGCGTCACTGTTTATATTGTCTATATAAATTACTTGGAAGATTTTTCGGAGATTTATCTAAAGGACAAGAATTCTATGAGAAATTTTAAACCGTTCAAGTATTTTGATTCATGTACCTTTCATAGGTTTTAATAAGAAAAAAATATATAGAATGAACCAAGTAATATTGATAAGTAAAACTTAGTTTAGAAAAACTTATTTATTTATTTAAATTATTAAATAAATTTACAAAAGTAATTGTTGATAAGCACGTCATAAAATAAATATAGTTTCTTTAAATGTATTAATTGTTGCCTGGATAGTTTTTTTTATTAATAAAATAAATATCGATACATATAATTATATAAAAATTAACACTGTAAATTATATGAAATTTTTATCCCTTTGAGTGTATTAACAATGGAAAATCCTTCGTCAATTATTACAAAATTCTTCGTAAATGATTCATCAAATAATGATAACATAAAATTACTAGCAAAAAAGTCATCTAGATCTTCAGTGTTGAGTGAAAATTACCAAACCAATGTGATAGCTGCTATTGATGAATGGTCATCCGCTGATTGGACAATTGTAACAAAGGCAATATCGGATATGCGTAAAACTACACTGAGAGCTATCAAAGGCTTGGTTCGAGATCGAGTGCTAGCAGAAAAACGCTCTCAAATAGAACGGAGATACTCCAATTTGTTGCACATGGTCGCCGATGCCTCAAGAGAAGTTGACTATATTAAACAACATGAAGATGATGAACAAGTTAAAGCTCTTTATGCTAAAATTTATTGGCTTGAAAACGAATACAACATGATACGCAAACATCATCATAGACTTATTGACGTTAATCCAAACAAAAGAAAATGTTAAATTTTATTATACATGTCATGAAAATATATATTTTTTAAACTTTTGAATATTTTTTGTATTTGTTATCATGCAATATAATAATTTAAAATTGTTAATATAACGATAACAAAAAACATGTTAGAAATGGTAATAAACTATTTATACTAATTTTTGATAATCAAGCAGTAATATCCAATTGCTTCACAAAATTGAAGATATTTATGATGTAAGTAGTATAAAATTATATACCAAAGTTCTAAAGTTTTGGATTCTATAAAGTATGCTAAGTTTAATTCAGTGTAAAAATTTTTTATAAGCTTTGAAATCATAAAATATTTACAGAATATTTTAGTTCTATCCAATGAATTTCAAAATAGAACTTAGGGGAAATTTTTGGTACGAGAAATTTTACTATATTAAGTGACATGATACATACTTTTTTTTAACTTTGAGCAAATAACTTGTGGAAAAAAATTATTTTTACAAATTTTATCTTTTTAGTAATATTCTATTGATAGTTCTCGTCAAAAAATTATTTTCTAAAACCACTGCTTTTTATACCAGCTTAATTATAGTGAAATTGGAACTTTAAAAGTACTATGTCACATACAATTATCATTATGCTATGCAGTATCTACTTTTTCTGACTTCTCAGGAGATCAAAAATAATATCTATTCTTCTATTAAACTTATATTTATAACATTTATCTAAGTAGTATTAATGCAATTTATGCTAAATTTTTAATATTTTTGAGTTAATGCCTATTTGTTGCGCATAGCGATTAATACGCATAATAATTTGAGTCTTAGTCATACAATAGTTTCGATCATGACCTCTCGTTATAAATTAAACGCATTAACCTAAAAGACTTAAGTTTTCCTGTATAATACATATGTCTGATATGATTGAGATATTCTGGACTCTTTCATTAATTCATTTATCATGAACTACTTAATTAGTGAAAAAATAAATATGAAATTGAGAATTTTAAATATATATATTTTTTAGATTCGATGGGAAGCTGAGAAAGTATTAATTTTAACATGATGTGTTTATTTTTTGTGTCTGTCACTACTTTTTCTCACCTCTCTCGGCCCATTTTTTTTACAATACGTCATAACATTAAAAATTGCATTTAGATGAAAAAATTACCCACAAAAATTGAAAAAATTTCCCTTGTTCCCGTAAATGATGAAAACCCCTAAAAAAATTACGATTTTATAAATCGAATTTTAAACATTTTTTTCTAAAAATTGCCATAACTTATTGAAAATGAACGAATAGAAATAATTTCTTATTTTATTGAAACCTTAGATATTTTCCATTCATTTTATATCATTTTTGTTGAAAATCTGACACTTAACCTATTCACAGGGTTGGATTCAAAATAACCACTTTTTTAACATAACTTTTGAAAATGTTCCGGATTTACTACGTTCTTTAAACACATGTTAAATTAAAGCTTACATTATGTACTAAAAAAAAAAAGATTTGTCCCGACAATCTAACTTCTATGTACAAATGACCGTCAAAATTGAACAAAAAATGTAATTTTCGTGTAAAAAATCAATGTTATTTTGGATCTTAAAACTAAAAAAAATAACAATTTTTTTTGCAAAACTCAACTTTTTCAACTTAAGTTTTAAAAATGTTCCGGAAATACTGCATTCTTAAAATATATGTCAAATTAAAGCTTATTTTACGTACTATAAATAAAAAAAAAAAAATTTCCCATCGACTTATCTTTTTTATACAAATGGCTGTCGTNGATTTACTACGTTCTTTAAACACATGTTAAATTAAAGCTTACATTATGTACTAAAAAAAAAAAGATTTGTCCCGACAATCTAACTTCTATGTACAAATGACCGTCAAAATTGAACAAAAAATGTAATTTTCGTGTAAAAAATCAATGTTATTTTGGATCTTAAAACTAAAAAAAATAACAATTTTTTTTGCAAAACTCAACTTTTTCAACTTAAGTTTTAAAAATGTTCCGGAAATACTGCATTCTTAAAATATATGTCAAATTAAAGCTTATTTTACGTACTATAAATAAAAAAAAAAAAATTTCCCATCGACTTATCTTTTTTATACAAATGGCTGTCGTAGTTAAAAAAGATGATATTTTTGTGTTCAAATTTTATTTATTTTTTTGTTTATTTTAAAATACCTTATAAGAGTTTGCCATAGTAATGATTCCACCAATAAATATAAAATTTACATGAATCTAATTTATATTAAATATAAATTTATACTTATTATGATTATTTTGCCTCTTCAAAATTAAGAAAAGTTTTTTGAAAACTTGTACAATAAGTAGAACTTTTGAAAATGTTCCAGGAAATCGGCGTCTTTTAAATATATGTTAAAATAATGCTATGTACTAAAGCTATGTATAAAGCTATGTTATGTACTAGAAGTTCAAAAAAAAAAAATTGTACCTACGATCTATTTTTTATGTGCGAATGGCAGTCAAAGTAGAACAAAAAATAGGAGTTATTTTTGCTTTTGGAATAATCCACCAATTTCTTAAAATTAAACACTATCTACAGATTTGCATCGAAGCGTTTCTTATAATAGAGATTTTAATCACGACTCCACGCTACCATTTTTATTAAGTAGCTTTTATTTTTTTTAAATTTANATTTACATCGAAGCGTTTCTTATAATAGAGATTTTAATCACGACTCCACGCTACCATTTTTTTTAAGTAGCTTTTATTTTTTTTAAATTTAGCTTAACAATGTATATCTGTGTATATAGTTTTTAATATAGTAAAGCAAGTATATACAGCTTTAAACGCATGTAAGCAAAAAGGTATTAAATCGTTGGGTAATAATACTATTAGAGACAAAAAAATTAATATTTTAATTAAAAAATTCGACTTTTAAAAGAAGATATCATAGAATACACCAGATCAAAAACTTTTAAACTAAAAATTATGATATTAAAATAAATTATTAGATAAAATTCTTATCTTTCATTTAAAAATATACTTAAATAATATAATAGACTTTTAAATGTATAGTAGAATATTTTTATTTTTTTAATGAGTCATTTGACGTAATACTACACATTTGATTTAATAACATAATAATGCATATTGTCTTTTTTAAAAAAAATTTTTCAATAANTATTGATTTAAAGGTCCTAATGCATATTGTCTTTTTTAAAAAAAATTTTTCAATAAAAAATCTGTACGTTTTATAGATGAATACTAAGAAGTTAGTAATTAAATAAGTTTAGGTTTGTAGATAGTATTCGTTTTGCCATACTATCCATATTTCGATATTTTATTAATATTTATAAATTTTTATCTCAAATTATTTATGTTCATTGGAATTCAAAAATAGATAGTATATCAATTATTTTTAGACAAAAACAATATTACATTTTTTCTTCATATTTTCTTTATATTGCTTTGTATAAATTAGTCTCTAATAAAATATATAATAAGAAAATAATGTATGTTCATTTCTGTAGATATTTTATATGTTAGAGAAATGAACGTAGATACAATTAGTTTTTGAATTACTATTTGATACGTAATACAAGTGTCATGAGAGTTTATCTTGACATCACATTATTTTTAAATTATATAACGAATAAAAAATGTACGAAAAAAAAAGCTTAATTGAATAATAACTGTGACATTAGTTTGATCTTCGTTTGGTATTTAAATGACGCGGCACTCAGAGTTATAATTTTTAGTGTCGTATATTTTTCGTTGCATTATTGGATTATTAATAATTGTGAGTTATTGTGTATTATCTTATACTAATGACTTTTGATGGTATTTATTTTAAATTAGCCTTCTTTTATATTATTTTTAGATCAAAATTATAAAATGGCCCCAAATTCACAATCAACGTCTGGAAACTTAAAATACATTGATAATGACGATATTGTAATTTCTGGTATATCAGGCCGATTTCCTAATTGCGATTCTTTTGAAGAATTTAAACAAAAACTTTTTAATGGCACAGATATCCTAGCTGAAGGAGAATCCCGTTGGCCTGAAGGTAATATTTTATTATATATGTAAACATTCATGGTAAATTATCCAAATAAGGTAAAAATATTTATATTTTATAAATAAAAAATATATGTCTTATTGACCAAGTCAAATAATATAATTATTTAATTTAATGCAACTGAAACATCATAAAATTTTAAATTATACATTAATACTATGCAATACATGATTCTAATTATATTATATTTTATAATTACTTTCAAAGATAACATTTTTATTATATGGTTTGACGTGTGTTACCTATCCGATAACTAACAATGGTAAGCAAAAATTAAGCTTAGCACCATCTGAAGTGTCCACTACGCCCTTAAATTTAGTAGTATAACAATCAATTATACTATAAAGTATACATTTTTATGATAACGTTGTTAAACATAAAATTTTATTATCCCATATGTTTAAACACAACATGTAATTAAAGGAAAAATAAGATAAACTAAAATTATATTATATTTAGTTTTTTTAATTACTATTTTAATAATTTTAGAAGCTATAATTAAAATATTAGAGCCAGATATTTGATTATTTCTAATATTTTATAGGTATTCATGGAACCGTTACCAAAATAGGAGTTATCAAAAACTTATCTAAGTTTGATTCAACTTTTTTTGGAGTGCATCCAAAGTTGGCTGATAGAATGGACCCTCAAGTTCGAATATTACTAGAAAGCACATATGAAGCTTTTATCGATGCAGGCAAGTACTTTTACGTGTCACCTGTTTGCAAGTGACACGATGGTATCTGACCACATATGTGCATGTGGTAATTATTTTTTTAGAAAAAAAATCATATTTCTTATATAATTGAATTCTAATATATTTTTAAACATAAACATTTGCTTTTTTTAAATTTAAATTATAATTCTATTTTTAAAAAATAAAACATATATTTTGGTCTTTTTTTAAAAATTAATTATATTAATTCAAAGTTTAACTATAACTTTAAAAGTATAAAACATATTATAATTTTTTTTATTTTCAGTACTTAATAGTATACTACGTTCTAAAATTAAAAAACAAATTTGGTCTATCCCTCTTTTTCCTCTTTAAAGTAATATAAATTTAGGTTTTATAAAATATATATATTAAATTAGCTTAAAAGTAGAAAAAGATCAAACAAAGCATGTTTGTTTATTTTATCTATACTCATTTATAAACCGCTCTACTTTTCATGCTCTATTATAAAAAAGGTAATATTTTTTTAAATATTCGTTCTAAAGTTGTTATCGATCAGTGATTTTCTTAATTACATCATTTTAATTCTTTGAAGCTAATTAAACATACATGATTTTATTCAAAATAATCTTTATTTGATATTATTTTGAATTGGAGAGAGGGGATAGAATTATTGTTATTTTTTTTTTGAAAAAATTATAATACTTTTTGTAATTTTAAAGATATTTTGTGAGTCATAATTAAAAAATCACTCTATATAAATATTTAATTGTAAATTCTTTGATTTAAATAATTATTTAATATTTAAAAAAATATGCAGTTCAAAGCATTCTGAGCAAATTTCTATTGGGTGATTTTTATAAATCAACCTTGAGCAATTAGTGCACAATTAAGTAGTTTTTCGGTCTGTTGATTAATTTAAAAAATTGCGTCTCCCAGATGCTATTACATGTTGTAGTTATCACATTTTTGGTACTGGTTTGTTTTGGTAGTTACTTATACTTAATTTAATTTTTCTCAGCAAATTCTTCAATGATGAGCGAAATTTCATTTGTTCTTGCATTAATAATTTAGCCAATGTTTTCAAAAAGTCTTGACTTTTTTATTACTATATTTCCTTGAAAAATAATATGTGCGTTTAGCGTACCTATATTTAAAATTGAATAAAATACTGTTAAAGATCATTGTATACAATGCCGAGCCACAGTATATTTCTCCATTGTCTTATATATTATATCTACAGAAGTTTTAATTGCATTATAGAATTTTATCATATTTGGTTTTTTTTCATACCAGTACTTTTATTGATTGAATTATCGTTGGCAAATGTTAGACAACTTAGTTATTTTGTGGCTTATAAGAAACAAGTATTTTTTTTTTTTAAATATGAACGTTATATAGGACGTTTTTTTATTTTTTAGTTCTGCTGATTAAAAAAATTCCAAAAAAAAAAAGGAAAAATTATTATGAATTTGAATTCGCGCTCCATGCACTGCATCATGTTGCCTGTGACACTTAGCTTATAGCTAAGCTATCAACTTATAGCTACTTTTGATTTGTAACATATTTTTGATAACAATGACTCTTTAAATGTAAATAATAAATTAGAAAACTTACCTATTATGTTAAGACACCTAGCGACACCTTTTTTCGTGCATTTGTATAAACCGCATATCTCTCTATTTCTTGTCAACTTTATTTTTATTTTATCAATGTATATATTAGTATACGATACAGTAGGTTCTAACATAGAATTTTATAATTTTGTAAACAGATACATATTTCATGTATCTGTTTCAGTTTTTACATGTTTTGCTTCATTAGTGACTCCTTCCTTTTCATTTATTTTATTATAACAAGGATTTATAATTTTTTTACTTGTTTTTCGTCGGTACCATTTAATCCCAGTTTTTCCACAATACATTTTTTTCTTTCATACTAAAAGATACCTCATCATCAGATTTATGGTAATTTTCATAATCAATAGAAGAATATTCATCGTAAAACTTGTTATATTCTAATTGTTTAGTGTCTGAAAAATTTAAACAAATTTCATCTAGTAAAGCTTGTTTTTTGATGTAGTAATTCAAAATGTAATAAAAAGAAAAAGAATAATAATAATAATAGGAGTGTTATAAGAAAGGAGCTAAATTGCGGTAGAACACGAATGAATTACTACGTATAATATTTTATCGATGTTATGGTTCGAGGGTTTAAAAAATCATAAGGTTATTAAAATAAATTTGCCATAAAAATGTATTTATAAGAATTGATAAAATTGACTCATCTTTTGTTGTTCTTATTTAAATTCTTAAAATAGATTGTAGTTATATAGAAATAATTTGAACACCAAAGTAAAATTTGTAAGTGTCAGGAAGCGTACGGCAGTCGAGATTGTTTCTTGCCCATTTTTTACCGTATTGTGCTAAATAGTTAAGTGACCAACTAACTCCACTACTATGTTCCATGCTGTTTTATGAAATTCAGCTCTACCCAATAATTACTGCACTACTTCAGTGCTGTTGTTCTTAGCCTTTTTACTTTATATAGTTGATAGTCCCATCTCTAATTGTTTTGATAATCTCAAATGACGTACTGCCTTTTTAGACTGTTTTATTACTATCATTTTATAATTTATTACACCGTAATCATGACTTAGATAACTATTACATGAATATATATATTTAAATTACAAAGTATTTCTATATCAATTTGGTAAATTATACAATTTTTGTGATATTGTACTTTTCTTACAATTTACATTCAAATATTTTAAGAATTATTTAAAAGTAATATGCATGGATATTACAATACTGAATACTTAGAACCTCCCTATATTTCTCCACCACTCAAGTCGTTCAGTAAAGCAGCGATACGAAGTCTTTCTAATACATCTATTATTATTAGTTTAACATAAAACATAAACGAACGTGGAGTACATTTTTACCGAATTATTCGAAACAACAACTGTAAGCGATTATTTTTGTATATACAATAATAACATAAAATCAGTTTATTTTTATAATTGTATGACTATCAAGATAGAAAATATAACGTTGAAAAACATATAATGTTATTTATGACAGGTTAAATGTTGACTGGAGTAATTAATAACCCCACGTAGTTGCTATATTTCATTTTTGGTGGTTTTTATAATTTTTTCAAATAATGAATGAATTGTTATTTTAAGAATAAAAGTCAAATTTATCAATTGACTAGATACATTAAAAAAATATATACTTCCCTCAAATTAGAATGATATAATTATTACTATTATTAACTAAATTTAATTAAAAAAAGGAAATTTATATATGTTTTGAAACACCCTTGAAAAAATACTGCGTATATTGCTGAAACATTATCATTTATATACAGTTAAATATAAATATTAATTATAGTTAATTTATAAAAATAACTTTTTAGGAATGAATCCAACATCTATGAGAGGATCAAACACAGGTGTAGTTATAGCAACTACTGAAAATGATTCTGCTGATTGGTGGTCTGCTGAACCTGATCGAGTAAATGGTTATGAATTTTTAGGTGTAACAAGAACTATGTTCCCTAACCGTATTTCTTATTCTTTTGATTTAAAAGGTAAAATAATAACAATTTGTTATTAAAGAATCTTAGAAAAATATTATTATAATTGTATTGATTTAAAGGTCCTAGTTATTCAATCGATACTGGATCTTCTGGCAGTTTACTAGCTTTTGAACATGCATACAGAATGATAAGAACTGGAGTTGCTGATGGCGTCATTATTGGTGGTTGTTCTTTAATATTGAATCCTGTTTTGTCTGTTATGTTGCAGAAATTTAATTCACTTGCTCCTGATGGAGTAAGTAAACCCTTTGACGCTAGTGGTAAGTTCAGAAATTAAATTTTAAAACTATTAATGATTAATAAACAGTATGTTAAAATTGAAACTTTTTAAGGTCAAGGATATGTTCGAAGTGATGCTATTGTCGTCCTATACTTACAGCGTGCCAGAGATGCTAAACGTGTATATGCCACTGCTTTAAATGCTTGTGCAAATACAGAAGGTTTTCGATTAGAAGGAGCTATTCACCCTTCTAATGTCGCACAAATGAAATTGTATAAAGAAGTGTTAGATAATGCCCATGTCAGTCCAGCAGATGTAGATTATGTTGAAAGCAACGCATGTGGAGATCAGGTATTATCAATACACTAATAAATTTTCTAGAAAATATTGTATATTATACTATATACTATATAACATACAATATATTATATAAAGTATAATTTATACTTTAAATATTTAAAAGTTACAAAAATCAAATAATAAAAAATATAAATTTAACGTAGTCCAAGAATCAATAAATCATTAAAAAAAGAAAGAGTAGCATAGTGTAGCATAGTTGGGACAATTATAGATGATATCTGACAGTGATTATAATCACTATCATAAGAAACGTTTCGATGCAAATCTGTAAATAGCGTTTAATTTTAAGAAATTTCTAGATTATTTCAAAAGCTACAATAACTCTTATTCCCTTAATTTTATCCCGATTAATAATTTTATTTATAATTTTATATATGAATAAATAATAATTATAATAATTTAGTATGAAGTTGATATTCAATAGTTTAATATCGTAATTTTTACGAAGATTTTATAAAAATAATAAAGTAGTTGTATATTTCTTTACTTTTAACGCATATAAAAATTTAAAGAGCTTGATGCAATACTTTTCAATAAAAAATGTTTGTTACTTATAACAAAGTTTTATATACTGGACTACAAGGAACTTTCACCAGAAACAAAAATATACTTTTTTAAATCAATTTTTCCCGATATTTTCAAATGTGCAATTAGACTTTTTCTAACACTTCTAAGTTTTAATATTATTACTTATTATTAAAAAGTAAGAATTTACATTTAAAAAAATAATTAAGAAAAAAAATAATTGTTTTAAATTAATACTGATTTTGATTATTAATATGTTAAAAATACGAAAATTATATATTTAACCTATTTTTTTAATCGTTTAAAGTTGATTTTTGTGAAACTTTATAGTAAAAAAAAAAAAAATAATAATTTATTACTATAAATTTTAGCTCAATTTGCAAGTTTGAAATTGACATCATTAAATAGGAAATTTTATGAGAATTAAAAAAATTGTATCGTTATGATTAATATGCAGTCAGGAAATTTTATAATTATTATTTATAGTAAATTTATTCAGAAAAGCTCAATATTTTTTTGCATTTTTATCGTAATAGATAATTTAAATAAAAATAATAGTAATAATTTCCTAGTAACTTTTGATGTTTTAAAAGATTCTACAATTGAAATATGAACTGAATAAATTTTAATGATTTCCTTTAATTAAAAAACCCAGCATAGGGGACTCCCGGCACAGTGATTAAAATCATTATCATAAAAAACGCTTTGATTCAAATCTTTAGATAGTGTTTAATTTTAAAAAATTGGTGGATTTTTCCAAAAGCTACATTATCTGCTATTTCCTTATTTATATCCTGATTAAGATAAAGTATGTCGAATTAAATTTATAATATTTTTAAAGTATATTGTCGAATTAGTTTTGATGTTATATGATTTTACTTTGAAATTTATTAATTTTTTTACTCTATTTTTGTGTGCTACTACCAGTCTATAACATTCTAAATTTTTTCGTAACATGTTGCTATATAAATCATAAATCTAAAAAAAAAATAGTTTTCAGTTTCACCTGACTTTAACAATGGATGAAATAAAAAATTTACTGTAAATAGTAATTATAAAATTTCCTGAGTGCATATTAATCCTAACAATACCATTTTTTTTCTATTTAATTATGTCAATTTGAAACTTGCAAGTTGAGCTAAAAGTTATAGTAATAAATTAATTTTTTTGTTTTATTATTAACTTCCATTTTAAAGGGCAAAAAAAATGAGATTATAAGTAATTACTTTTAATATATTAAAAATCAAAATCAATAATAATTTGAAAATATTTATAAAAATGATTATTATATATTATATTTTTGAATCTAAGAATTACTAATCATGTTATAAATAAGAAAATAGGAGTTCATTTTGCTATTGTAATAATCCACCAATTTANTAATAAGAAACTAGCAGATAATGTAGCTTTTGTAATTATCCACCAATTTCTTAAAATTAAACACTATCTACAGATTTGCATCGAAGCGTTTCTTTTGATAGTGATTTTAATCACTGTCAGATTAAATCTATACTGGACCCAACTATACCACGTATAGTTATAGCTATTCCGTATATTCACGTATAGCTATTCCGCGACCCCACTGTGCTGGGTTCTTTTTCATGAATGATAAAGTATATTAAAATTTAAGTTATATATAGAAGTGTTAGTCTTTCTGGAACATTTTCAAAAGTTAAGTTGAAAAAGTTAATTTTTTGTGAAAAATTGACATTTTGAAACCCTTCCTGTAAGCTTTATAAATTTGTAATTTTTTTGGAAGTTTCCCCCATTTACGGAGAACGAGGGAAATTTTTTCAATTATTGAGGGTAATGTCTTCGACTAGATACGATTTGTGATCTTTTGAAGTATTTTTCATCAAAATCAGTCCAGCGAGAGCTGAGATTTAACGTTCACGGACACAAAAAAAAAACACATCATGTTAAAATATATACCTTCTCAGTTTCGCATCGAAGCTAAAAAAATATAACAATATGTTAAATGTATCAAAAGTAATAAGAATTATCAGTTAGATATGTTCCACTCTGTATATATAACTTCTTCTTCAGCTAATTGTTTGAAATTTAGGGCAATCGCTACTAAATATAAATTCCTACATTCTTTATGATTTTCCTCTATTCGTTTAGGGTCATCTACTTCTAGTAACTGAAATTCCTTCCTCGACATGATCTTATCATCGTTCTTTTAGTTTCGCTAGTGGTCTTTTATCTTCTGGTTTCCATTCTAGTGCACCCTTTGCTAAACTTTGATATCTACAGACATTACTAAAGCAACTCAATTTTATTTTCTTAATTATTGCGGTTATGTAGTGATCTCCAATGTGCTAGTTTGTATTATACTGTATGCATTCGAAACCTGTTCAATCGCAAACGAAGACAAAAAGAAACTGAAGAAGTTTATTAGAAGAAATTATGAAACTAAAAATAATTAAAGAAACAGATAAATATGAAATAAGGTCAAATATGAATTTAATAGAACTATTTGGATATCATAACATAACCGGGATATATAATGGGTGATTTTTTATTGTTGTCTACTAGATTTCTTCTAAAATAATTATTTTATAATATTTTAAGCAGTAATTATTTAATAAAAATTGATCACTTGTGGCTAATTAATTAAGTAAAATTAAAACTATATTAAAAATATTATTAATTTAAAAAAAACTAAAAAATATTAAAAATATTAAACTCAAAAGCCACAAAAAAATTAATGAAAAGTCGCGGATACGTATTTCGGAAACAATGTTACCATTATCAACGCTAAACACATACTGAGTTTAATATTTTTAATATTTTTTAGTTTTTTTAAATTAATAATATTTTTAATATAGTTTTAATTTTACTTAAGTAATTATTTCTTAATTTTTGAGTGGTTAAATATTTTTTAAATCTATTTCCTTATATTTTTTCTATCCTTATACCTTACAAGGGTAAAACATTTTTTTATTGACATAATATACAGAGTATTCAGTAAGTAAGAAACACAGTTCAAATTTCAAACAATAAAAACAATAGAAATTCGATTTCTTACTTACTGAACACTGTATATTTAACTAAATAATATAATAGAAAATGATCCAACTAAGAAAAGAGATTAGTCGTTAATAACTTTTTAACCGGGAGTTATAAATATTTTTACAGTTAGGTAGGAGGAGTAGCAAGGTAGAGTGATGCTTCATGGTAAAAATAACACACACCGCACATTAGCCTTCAATATACATTGCAAGTGTTACTATCTACCGAAATACTAGTTTAAAGAAGTTATTACTCAGTTATTTTCTTAAATGAATCATTATTTATTATCTGAACTAGTTAAATATTTATGTTGTGAAAAAAAAAATATTGGTACTTTCGTAAGGGATAAGGATAGAGTATCAAAAATAGACTTAAAAAATATTTAACCACTCAAAAATCTCGAAATAAATACTAATAAATACTAATAAACAAATTAAAAATAATTTTTTTTGGTTTCGATTCGAAGCTGAGAAGATATTTTTTACCATGATGTGTTTTTTTTTTTGTGTCCGTGAACGCTCAATCTTAGCTCTCACTGGACCGATTTTGATGAACATTACTTCAAAAGATCACAAATCGTATTTAGTCGAAGACATTACGATCAAAAATTGAAAATTTTTCCCTGGTTCCCCGTAAATTGTGAAAATCCCCCCAAAAAATACGATTTTTAAAATAGATAAATTTCGATATTTTTAAAACTTTTGTTTTCTAAAAATTACCATAACTTATTAAAAAATGAACAATTTAAAATAATTATTTTATATATTGAAACCTTAGATATTTTTCTTTTATTTGATATAAATGTTTTGAAAATCTGACTCTTTATCTGCACAAAAGGGAGTATTCAAAATAGCCACTTCTGCACAAAAATTTAACTTTTTCAACTTAAGTTTTGAAAATATTCCGAACTTTAACATATGTTAAAGTAAGTTTGTCCCGACGACTTATCTTCTATGTGCAAATGTTAAAAACAGAAATTTTGGTGTTAAAATTTACGATTTCATATTTTTCAACTTTAAATTACTATAACTTTTCGAAAAATGTATAGATCAATACAATTTTTTATTAATAAATACTTTATGTTTACTTATTCATTTGATATACATTTTTTGAAAATCTGACTCTTGACCTGACCATAGAGGGATTCAAAATAACAATTTTTACAGGAAAGTTAAAAATTTTTAACTTAATTTTTAAAAATTTTACGGAAATATTAATACTTTTATTTAATCTTAAATTAAATCTTATGTAATATACTATATTATAGTAATGTAGTATATTATGAAAAAAAAATTTCGAAATATATTGAAAATGGTTATCATAATCAAAAATATATTATTTTTGTGTTAAAATTTTTGATATTGTTTTTTAATTTATTTTAATATACCTTATAAGGTGGTATACTTTCATGAATATTATATAAATCTAATTGCCATAAAATATTAAGTTAAACTTATTTCAATTTTTTTTCTCTATTAAGTTAAAAAAATTAATTTTAACATTTTCATAATGCCATCATTGCAATGATTTTTTTGCAATTTTTCCTTAATTCTTTTTGAGTTAGAATTTTTCTTTTGAATAATCCACCAATTTCTTAAAATTAAACACTATCTACAGATTTGCATCGAAGCGTTATTTATGATAGTGATTTTAATCACTGTCAGATATCATCTATACTTGTTTCAACTATATCACGCTCACACTATGCCGTGACCTAACTATTCTACGGTTTATTATTATTATTATTATTTTAGGAAAAAGTTAGAGATCAATCACTCTGTGTATATATATATATATACATAATATTTTTTGAATTTATATTCTTAATTATTAAGACTTTTTTTTATAAATTGCACTAGTTAAAAGATTCACAAGAACTTAATGCTGTTACGGAAGTATATTGCAAAAATCGTTCAAAACCACTTTTGATTGGATCTGTCAAGTCAAACATGGGTGACAGTGAACCAGCATCTGGACTCTGCGGGATTGTAAAATTAGTATTGGCAATGGAAAATCAAGAAATTCCACCAACTCTCCATTATGTTACTCCCAATCCTAAAGTGCCAGCCCTTAAAGACGGCAGACTTCAAGTAGTTAGTAAGTCACTTCCATGGAAAGGAGGAATAGCAGCAGTGAATTCTATAGGTATTGGAGGATCTAATGCACATGTCTTACTAAAGTCAAGTTGTAAAGATAAGAAACCTCATTCTCAAGATCCAATCCCTCGATTGATAATCGGTTCAGGAAGAACTGAAAGTTCGGTTAACTATATGTTGAACCGAGTAAATATATCTTTATTCATTTTATTTTTTAAATATTACCTAATAAAATGATTACAATCATAAACAATTTTATGGAATAAAATGCATTTCCAATAGGTTGAAGAAACACCCAGAGATCCAGAATTGTATGGTTTATTGTATAATGTACAAAGTGAAAATATTCCAGGGCATCTTTTTAGAGGATATAGTATCCTCGGAGAACATAATAATCGAGAAGTAGTGGTAAGTTCTATGAAAAAACATGCTAAATTGAGTATAAAGATTTCTTAATTCAAATTTATTCATAATATATCGTATTTATTTATTTTGTAATACAGTCTACCGGAGTAGGAAAGCGAGAAGTATGGTTTGTTTTTGCTGGAATGGGAAGTCAGTGGATTGGTATGGGTCGAGAGCTTATGGAATTGGCACCATTCCAAAAGTCTGTTGAGAAATCTGCCATAGTATTGAAATCTCTTGGATTAGATCTTTATGCTCTTTACAACTCAAATGACCCAGCTATTTTTGATAATCCATTAAATACATTTGTTGGAATTGCTTCCATACAAGTAAAATATATAATTTTATTTATTTTAATGTGAATCATCATAATCATATCCTTAGCCTCTATCCCAACTATTTGAGGTTCACTCTATCTTACAATTATTTGACAGGATGTTTTACACCAACTGCTGATCTAACACAACCTCATTATGGTTGAAGTAGCCATAACAAATTTAATTTGATTGTCAATAAATGTTAATATTTAATTGTATAGATGGCGCTAATAGATATTCTTAAACTAATTGAAATTGAACCTGATAAAATCATCGGACACTCGGCAGGTGAATTAGCTTGTGCATACGCTGATGGAACATTAACCGTAGAACAAGCAATTACTATTGCTTACTGGAGAGGACGCAGTATATTAGATAAAAAATTACCACCTGGAGCTATGGCTTCAATAGGCAAGTGAAAAATTATATTAACCACTTTTAGTGTAGCTAAATGATACTTATTTAAAAAAAAAAATAGGTTTATCTTGGGAAGAAGTCAAAACCAAAGTTCCATCAGATGTTTTCGTTGCTTGTAATAATACTGCAGACAATGTTACTATTTCTGGTCCTCCTGATTCAATATCTAAATTTGTTAATAAATTGAAATCTGAAGGAGTATTCGCACGGGAAATAAACAGTTGTGGAGTAGCTTTTCATTCACCATATATTTTATCTGTTGGTCCAGCTTTTAAAGAAAAAGTCAAGGGTGTAAGTTTAACAGTCAGCTTGGGTAGTGCATTTATTAATAAACTATTTAAAAACTGCATGAATATAAATTTAATTTTTAAAGGTTGTACCAAATCCAAAACCTAGATCGTCGAGATGGTTAAGTACATCTATACCAGAATCCGAATGGAATTCACCATTGGCACAATTTTCATCGATATCTTATCAAGTTAACAATTTAGTATCACCAGTATACTTTTTAGTAAGTTAAGGCCTCTTGGTATTGAAAACATTTTTTCATTTTGATAATCTATTAAAAGTAATATTTATCTTAAATAATGATACACAACGCAATTTAATGCAAACATTTTTTCTTCAGGACGTATTGAAACAAATACCTGATAACTCTATAGTGATTGAAATTGCTCCAAATTCTATTTTCCAACCTCTTCTAAAATCTAGCACTGGATCAAATTGTACTCATTTAGGTTTATTAAGGAGAAATCAATCAACTACATCAGATTTATTACGTAGCATAGGGAAACTTTTTAATGCTGGATTACAACCCAAATTAGAAAATTTATACCCTCCAATAGAGTATCCAGTATCTAGAGGTACTCCATCTCTTCAACCATTAGTTGAATGGGACCACTCTAGTGATTGGCATGTATGCAACTTCATTGAAACAGAAACTGCTACATCTGGAGAGATAGTATTAGAAATAGATGTTGAAAACAATTCCTATAATTACCTTAAAGGTACTTTTGTTGATGGTGTCGAAGTTCTACCATATTCATCATACTTAGTAAGTTTCGAATATTTCATAATTTATTTATTGATAGAATTCCAGAAATATAAAAACCAATAATTTGTTATTAAAATCAGTGGTTCGATTATTTTGCGCTGAGTTATGTATGTTTTTTTTCGATCTCTCTGGCACTAATAAATTAAACTACCTTTATTTAATTACCTTTAGGTCATTATACTACAAATTATTTTTTTCACAGAAAATATTATTAATGATCGCAAAACTTAAATAATAGTTTTTGATAGATAATAGTAGTAGTGTATATAGTATATTGTTGTACAATTTTTAAATATATATTATATTTGTTTAGTTATTTGTTTGGAACGTATTAGCTAAACTTCAGTTAAAATCTCTTGAAGAATTGCCAGTAGTTTTTGACGATGTTCAATTTTTCAAATTAACTTCTATACCCTCCAATGGTATTTATGTCTAAAATGACTAGAGTACTAACCAGGTTAAATTTTTATAATCAACATTTTTACTATAGGAAAACTAACTTTCATTATCAATATTTTGAAAGAAACACGTCAATTTGAAATAAAAGAAAACGACTGTGTTGTTGTTTCTGGATTTATTGATATCCAAGTAACCGACGACCAAATTGAATTAACGGAAATAAAGGATTATGATGCAGGTCAACTAATGTCTAATGATATTTATAAAGATCTTACATACAAAGGATACAAATATGGAAAAACTTTCCAGAATTTAAGCATTGTTAGTCAAAATGGTCTGTAAAATATATGAAACTATTTCAAAAAAGAATTTTTTAGTTCAAATTTTATTTTACTAGGTAATAGTGGTAGTATTGATTTTGATGGACAATGGGCTCCATTTCTTGAATCATTACTGCAAGTACACTTATTAAATCTTGATACGAGACATTATCATGCTATCAAATACATAAACAAAATTTCAATTTTACCAAAAAAACATTATCAATCGTTATCCTCAAAAAGTAAATATAAAATAAAAAAATTAATTTGCTTTTGTTAACTCTTAATTAATTATTAATTTGTTAAAAGTATTTTAACTCATTAATAGTTAAATATAATCAAATAAAATCATATTAAATATTTAATGTTGTACACAATTTCAATAGGCATATCATTCAACGTTTATGAAAACATTAGAGTTGTTAAAACTGCAGGTGTAGAATTCACTGATATTAGATCACAATTAGTTCCTGTTCGTAAAGAAATACAAAAATCATTTGATTTAGACACTTATTCGTTTATTCCATATGAATCGAATGAAGTATATACCACTATTATGATTTAACTTATAATGAATTTAATACAATCTAAATATTTTAACAGGTTGATGAACCACTTAATTTAATCGCTCAAATCGTGTTAGATAATGTTATAGGCCATATAGAAGTTTGCGAGATTGTAACAATTCAACAAGAACTGTTGATTTTACAAGTCTTAAATTTAATTAGTTCTAAAACATCAACACTGGTATGATAAATATTTAGTATTATTTAATTGAATATTTGCTTAATTCTAAACAAACATTTACAGGTCAACTGCAATGTCTATGCAAAGAATATCAGTCATTACAAAACAGATAAACTCGTAGCATACCACGAACATGATATTACTTCCAGCACAATAGAAAACCCTACAAATTTAGTGTTAACTCACGGTGTAATTGAAAATAAAAACTTATTTAGTAACATAATAGCTGCTGTTAAAAATGGTGGTTTCTTACTTACTGTTGAACACAGTTTCGATCCAAAATTTAAACAAACTGGAATAGAAATTGTAGCAAAATACACTAAAGGCCATAATATGTTTATTTTATTAAAAAAAGTATTAAAATATTTATTTAAATTATAATGATTATTTAAGGACGCCGATAATAATTCATACAATTCTTAGGTTACAGAATCATCCAATCCTTTAGTTATAGCCACAGGATCATCATTCTCCTGGGTTGAATTTTTAAAATCTAATCTTAAAAACACTGTTTTAAATAATAAAAGCATTTTATTAGTGGGTCAAAACTTAGATAACTCTGGAGTAATACCATTAACAAAAAGCTTGAGACAAGATTCAAATGGCCATTGTGTTAGGTAAACTACATAATACATTTTTTCATTTAAAATTGAAAAAAAAATAATCATATAATATTTAGATGCATATCAGTCAAAGATAACAAAGCTCCAGCTTTTTCCTTGACAGCTCCACTGTATCAAGAGCAATTAAAGAAAGATTTAGCAATTAATGTTTTTAAAAATGGTGTATGGGGAACTTATGCATTAATTCCTTATAAACAGACTATGGTACAAGCTGAACATGCCTTTATTGGTACAACAAAAGTAGGCGATCTTAGTAGTCTTCAATACATCGAAGGAAAACTTTCGAAATACAAGTACTTATATAGAAAATATTTAATTACCTTTTTTATTAAAGAATATATATATATATATATATATGTATGACACAAATGTGTTTTTTTATTCTTAGTGTTAAAGAATATCCAAATTATAATTTATGTTACCCATACTATGTTCCACTTAATGGATTGGACGTGAAATTCGCAAATGGAGGATTCCCATACAATGGACTTAATGGAGATATTGCTCAACAGGTAAAATTAAATATAGACATTCTTTTATGATAGTGAACAACATCGTTTTCTTTTCATAATTTAGGAAAGCTATCTTGGAATGGAATTTTCAGGGCGAGACTCCTCTGGCAAACGTGTCATTGGTTTAGTACCTGGTGGTGCACTGGCTACATCCGTATTAGTACATAAAGATCTTGTCTGGCAAATACCAGACGAATGGACTCTTGAAGAAGCCTCAACTATCCCAAGAGTTTATAGTTTGGTAAATTTCAATTTATTGACGGAAGATTTACAAATATTCATAATAAAAAATTATTAAAATATTTATTGTAACCAAAATTAATTTATCTATAGGCTTACTACGCTTTGGTAGTAAGAGGAAACATTCAATCAGGTGAATCTATGTACGTGCATGCTGGTGCAAGTGGAATTAGTACTGCAGTTATAGCTGTTGCACTTGAGCTAGGAGTTATCCCTTACGTTGGAGTTTTTAATAGAGAACAAAAAGAATTTTTGAAATCAATATACCCTCAAGTAAATTTTAATGGAAAAAAATGCCTAACTTTTATTATAATTATTAATGTGATTTTATTTTTAGTTAAACGATCACAACTTTGCTAATCTAGCTGACAATGGAGGATTTGAACAACACCTTTTAGAGCAAACGGAAGGACGTGGTGTAGATTTAATATTTGATACTTATACAGTCATTAATAAACGTCAAGAATTTGTTAATTCTTTAGCTGAATACGGACGACTTATTGAGTTTGAAGTAGTCGTACCTGTCTCAGATTCTTTAGGAATATCCGGAAACATGAAATCTATTAGCTTTAATAAAATTTCTCTCAGTACCATACATTTCTCAGACTCGGAGATAAAATATATTCAGCGTTTAGTCGCCCAGGGTATAAAAAATAAGCATGTAAAACCTTTGTCTACGACTATTTTCCCGGTAAATAAAGTTGAAGAAGCATTTAAATTCACTGTATGTGGTAGTTACTTGGGAAGAGTTGTTGTTAAAATTAGAGATGAAGAAAAAACAAATGTACCAGCTAAACACACAGTAACTGCTTTGCCAAAATCTTTCTTTTCGTCCGAGAAATCATTGGTCATAAGTGGTAAATAATAAAACAATTTTGTATTTAAATATTCACAATTATTTATTATTTATCATATCATTATAAAATTAAAGGTGATGATGATGCTTTAAGCTTAGAACTTATACAACATTTAGCATCAAGAAGCGCTCGTAAATTTGTTTTGGTTACAAAAAATAAAGTACAGTCTGGTTTCAAAACGTTGGTTTTAAGACGCTTGAAGAACAAAGGCGTTAATGTAGTAATGTCTTCAGCCGACCTTTCAACAGTAAAAGGCGTCGAAGAAGCACTAAAAGAAGCTTTACAATTGGGGCCAGTCTGTGGATTTTATCATTTGAGCAACGTAAGAATTTATTTGATAACTGAATTTCAAAAATTTAGTAAATAAACAATTATTGTATCTTTGCTAAAATATTTACTTAATATTATATCTACAGGCTCCGTCAACAGGTTTATTACATTCTCTCAGTGAAAATGATTTTAGTTTAGCCAAAAATAATGTCGCTGATATTGTTGCTAACTTTGACACAATAAGCAGAAGAGTATGTCCCCAAATGGAACATTTTGTTATTCTTGCCCCAACATTAGCAACTCGTGGAGAAGTTTCTAAAACCAACTATGCATTTGCCCATGCTAGTCTTCACAATGTTGCTGAAATTCGATCTATTTCAGGCTACCCAATTGTAAGATTTTTTATAACTAGAGCCACACTATTTTTCATCTATATGATAATTTTAATAAATTACAAATGAAATATTTACTTTTTATAAACTAATTTAAGGATAAGATAATTAATAAAATTATTAAAGAAATCATTTTTTTTGAAAAACAAAAACAATTACGCAACTTAAGAGATGATATTTCAGTTGACTAATGATTAGCATCATTTATATGTGGAATTAATATAAATATTTATTGTCAGGTAATTGTAGAATATGGTGCTATAAGTGAATGTTCAGACTCATTCAATGATTCACGCTATGATATTCAACCCATGGCATCAGCTTTGAATATATTAGACAATGTTACGCGACAAAATAATCATTTAGTAATCTCATGCTCAAAACTATTACATCAAAGTCTTGAAAATACAGATGCTGCAAGTCTCGTGTTAATGAAAATAGCTAAACTTTTCGGTAATTACATTTATTATTTTAATATTTATTTTATTTTATATAATTTTATACTATTATTTTTTTTCTAGGACACAATGCATTATCTGATGTAGAACCAACATTCACTCTTGCTCAACTAGGACTGGATACAATTTTAGGGCCTAAAGTTCAAAGTTTAATTCAACAAGAAACTAATACGTTGATTAATATTGAAGATCTGAGACTAATGTCATTCCCAACTCTCCATACTAAAATTAACTCATTTTTAGCCTAAAATGCAAATGGATTGAAGAATTTCTTATTTCTTAAAATATTTATATGAACTCAAATACATTTGTTATTATATATTTTACTTTAAATGATCATAAATAAATAAATAAATTGCCTTTGAAAATATTGTATTGATCTACGGACTAACTAATAATTTTCAAACATAAATGGTTGACGGAACTACTTTCTAGTATAAAATGTAACGAATAATACACAAATTATTCTGGGGCTTTTATTTTGCTATTAATGTACAAGGCGTTATCAAATTTTTTCATTAAGTTTTTTATCATTAAGCAATAATTTTTAATGTTTAATTCACTAAAATAAAAATATATTTATTTGATTTACTTCGAGTCAAAACAAATTTTATAGTAATAGAGTTAAAATAAAACACAGTGGGGTCGTGGCATAGTTGGGACAAGTTTGTTGGGTATGTCCTGGGGAAATTTAAGTGCAGTAGTTTTTCGTTGCCTTCTGCACTGGGAACATGGTGCTTTTCGCCACCGTAGAAGCGCACGCATGGTCACCCATCCGTTCACCTACGGCGGTAGGCGCGACTTAACACTAGAGTTTTGTCAACAACTAGTGTGACCACCGCGCCACACCACGCCCTATAAAACGTACTGATTTTTTATTGAAAAATTTTTTTTAAAAAAGAAAATATGCATTATTATGTTATTAAATCAAATGTGTAGTATTACCTCAAATGACTCATTAAAAAAATAAAAATATTCTACTATACATTTGACAGTCTATTATACATATATACATTGTTAAGCTAAATTAAAAAAAATAAAAGCTACTTAAAAAAAAATGGTAGCGTGGAGTCGTGCCACGGTATGGACGTGGCATAGTTCGGACAAGTATAGATAATATGTGACAATGATTAAAATCACTATCATGAGGAACGCTTCGATACAGATCTGTAGATAGTGTTTAATTTTAAGAGATTGTTGGATTATTCCAAAAGAAAAATTAACTCCTATTTCGTTCATTATTCCTAATTAGTAGTTCTATGATTTATAAGTATTCTTTCTTTTTCCTCGTCTTAATCCCAAATACATGGGGTCAGCTAGCCTTATTCTAAACATCCACTTGACACAATCATCCACAAAATCTACGCTCACATCAGCCGTCCTCGTATTGCATTCAATTACATTCCTCCATCTCTTTTTTGGCCTTCTTCTACCTCTTTTTCCTTCAACATTCATTTCTATAACTATTCTCTGAACCATACATCATAGCCGGTCTTACTACAATCTTAAAGAACTTACCTTTTAGCCTCATTGGAATTCCTTTATCGCATAACACACCAAACACTTTTCTCTACTTCAATCTCCCGCACTTAAACCTGTGTCTTACATCCTAATCAATTCAATCATTCTTTTGCACAACTGATTATAAATACTTAAAACTTTTCACCTCTCCTTTCACGTCCTCGCCTATTGTCACTGAACTTGAATTGTCATTTAACCAACCTTATGTTCTCCTTTATGAAACTCGTACTTTATATAATGTGTCTTACTCCTACTCCTTACTCCTAAACCCTTTTCTTCAAGAGCTGATCTCCACACCTCTAGCCTTTGATTAATTTCCTCCCTATTTTCTCCTATTGACACTATATCGTCGGCGATCAACATGCACCACGGCACCTCTCCTTATATTTTTCTAGTAATTTCATCCATTACTCTAGAAAAGTAAGGGCTTAAAGCAGAATCTTCGTGCATTTCTACTTTTACCCTAAAACCTCCTGTTACTCTTCCTATGCTTTTAATATGGTACAAGTGCCATCATACATATCATCTATTATATCAATGTAACTTTTAGGGACTTCTTTTCTCATTAATACCCATTTTAAAACCTCCCTCGGTACTCTATCATACGTTTTCTCCAAATCTATAAATACCATACCATGATTTATAAGTATAATATACGAATAAATGTCTATTATAGCAATTCAACGTAGTATAAAATTAATATTTAATCATTTAGTATTGTAATTTTTACGCAGAAATTATAAAAAATTATAAAGTAGTTATTACTTTTATGGCAAACATCAATAAAAGTAAAAAGGTTTGATGAAATACTTTTCAAAAAAAAAAATTGCTTGTTACATATAAATACAATTTATATGTAGAAGAAAATTTCATTAGAGACCAAAATATACTTTTTTAAACCCATTTTTGCGCCAATTTCAAATCTGCAATTAGAGTTTCGTACATGGGCTAAATAATAACAAAAATTCTAATTTATACAACAAATATTTATGTCTGATTATTAGGTTACATATGAATAAATAAATATATTTTAATTAGAAAATACGTAACAAGCAGAATATATTATGTTCAGTATATCAATTAAGATTTTTTATTTAAGAGTTACATAGAAAAGATTATCAAGACTTCTATTTAATGAATATTTAATACAATAAAAATACGACAAAAATAGGGATTTTAAGAAAATTTTGAATTATCTTATAGATTTACTGTTAATAGTAATCATATAAGTTACTGATCACAAATCAATAAAAAAAATACAATTTTTCAGTCCCCATAAAATTTTCTATTTAATGATATAAATTTTAAACTTTCAAGTTGAGTTAAATTTAGTGTTTAAAAGTTCAACATTTTTAAATTATAAAGGATCAAAAAAATAAGTTAAAAATGACATTTTGAGTTTGAAATTTTGCATGGATTACTTTTAATATATTAAAAATAAATAATAACTTGATAAAAATGTTTGGTAATAATCTCGAAAATGAGGTAATTAAAAAAATATAATTTTAGACTTTAAATCAAATTGAAAAATTTGGTATAGTAAAGCATATATTGATTTGTGATCATTAAAATATATTTCATTTTAGTGTTCTTTCGGCGTATTGGTCATTAAATTTGATCAAGTGCGAGCTGAAAAAAATTATTGAAGACACAAAGAGTGTTATTATCTCATTAGTAATGTCCGGTTTTTGGTGTAAGCAGGCCTAATATCCATCCTGTCCATATTTGGACTAGCCAAGAACCATATATGACTTTCTAACATGTAAAATACGATCACCACCCATTATTGTATGTTAAGTTTGTGAAAAAGAAGGATGTAAAACTGATAATTTTATTGTACACTTCAAAAGCTTTAATTTGATATTGATTAGAAGTTGAACCTTTCGGAATATTTTCAAAATTAATTGTATTAAAAAAAAATTCACATTTGTCTTTTCCAAATCCTTCTTGTACTTAGGTTTTTCATGGGATTTTTCGATAAATATACCACAAAAAGTTTATTGTCTCTAGCATACTCTATTAAAATCACATTTGAATTAATGTTTTAAAAAACTGTTCCATCAATTTTAAAATAGAGAAAAAATGTTTGAAAATGCTATTTTTATGGTTGCCTAATTTTAAGATATTTTTTTTAATTTTAAAAAATGAGTTGGTTTCTTTCAAATTTTTGACGTTGATTAAAATTATGTACATTAAAATCGGGTACTTTTGACATATTGATTATCAGTCCAGTGAAAACTAAGAATTTTCATGGACAAACATAAAAAAAAACACATACCATCAAAAAAACAATACCTTCTCAGCTAATATATTAAACAAACGTTAAAGAACTTATAGAAGTCAATATTAAAATTATAACTTGAATCGTGGTATTTGTAGGTATCATTGTAAACAATATTTGAAAAAAATATTTTTATAAGCTATATCTTTTTGAAGCTCTGAAATTCAAGCTATGACATATCTTTATATTGAAAATAGTAATCTAATAAAATGAGTGATAAACAAAACAAATTTGTTGGCTCGAAGCACAACGACTAATGGTCAATACAGCCCTATGAATTGAAAATTAATAAAAGTATATCTAAAAGAAGTATAAGACATATATTTTTAGTAAGATAACTGCTAAAATGTTCGATGAAAAGTATCAAATTAAAAATAAATTATATTCGTTCATTTTTTATGAAACCCGTATTAGACATTTCTGAATGATTAATAAAATAAACAACTTTTCATTTAAAATATTTTAGTTGATTATTTGTTCTTTATTATTAATACTGATATTTTACGACAAATAAAGAATGCATATAAATATTTAACAATTAACAATTACTCATAAACCTGTGGAGAGCGAAGCTCCTTCACCACTTGAGTTAGTATGGATAACATAACTATTTCATAATTACCATTTTAAAAATATGCTTCTAAATTTGTTGTAACTATAATTACTATAAATTTAGAAGCAATATATCGGTTGAATGTTAACATCCATTAGTCAATGGACACTCTAAAATATTAGACAAATGTTAATTAAATATTATAATAAAAAGAATTTACTATATTCTAGTTAATATTAAAAAATAAAAACTATTTATATTTTTTAAAATTCAATTCATGTAAAATTTTTTTTTTTTTTAGAAGATTTTTAATGCTTTATTATGCCTGAATTAATATTAACTTTATATAAATTAAATAGTTATTTAATTATATTTTATGCAACTCTAAAAATAAATAATTTTTTTGATTGTTATTTTATATAATTTTACACAATAATAAGGGTTATTGAAATATTACAGTTTGTTTTTATTTGTAATTAAAAAAAGTCGTTAATTAAATATACATTTTAATAAATTAAAAATTGAATTTGCCTATTTTAATAACTAAATATTAAATTCTTACATAATTTATTTTTACAGCATAAAAAAAATGACCTTAATGCAGTACTAAATGAAAAGTCCTGATAAAATCTTTTATTATTGTTAGATAATCATAAGATATACGTTGATACAACATTTATGTAAGGCAAAAAAATGTCAAGAAGTGTTTCATAATGATCATTTGACTTTATTTAAATAGTACTAGTTGACATTAAATTTTATTCTATAACTGTAAATCGAGTTGCTAATCTAACTGTAACCGATCAAATATTAATAAGTAAAAAAATTTAAGTATTTAAAAAAATGGCGCCTAACGCTGACAACTCACAAATTAAGATAGAAGTCACCTCTGATGAATTCGGTTTCCAACCTGATGATGTTGTTATATCTGGAATTTCTGGAAGATTACCAGAATGTGATAGTGTAAATGAATTTAGAACTAAGCTCTACGCTGGAGAGGACATGGTAACTGGCGATCCAAGAAGATGGCCCGACGGTACGCTCATTATTTTTCATTCGTCATTTAAATTAATATCAGTTAATTAATATACATGACATTCGAATATTATATACTTAAATTATTTTAGGTTTGTATGGCGCCATTATGAGAACTGGAAAATTGAAAGATATTACTCCATTCGATGCCGAATTTTTCAATTACCCACCAGCTTTAGCTGATCGTACTGATCCGCAACAAAAAATGTTATTAGAAGTAGTCTATGAAACTATTATTGACGCAGGTAATATTTTCATAAATATATTATTAAATATGTTTTATAGATTATAAAGCGTTTATATCAAACTTATCCCAGAATTTTTCATACATTTTTTTAGTTTATACAAAATAAAAACTATCTAAATCTTTGTTATTATTGTGTTTGGTAAATTTATCTATATTTATTTGAAACCAAATTTTTCTCACGCAAATATTAAAACCGTAAAGTATAATTGTCTAACATACTGTACATTTGAAATTGTATAGAGAATACTGAGTGGATTGAGGTTCATGTTCGAACCAGAAAAACGCTCTGTAAATATTTTTTCTCTTTATATATAATTTTGTAAAAATTAGGCTACACTATTATCAAAATACCACTTGATGCAATTCAGTGCATTTAGTTCACTGAAAAATTTTTGACTACTCTACAACTAATCTATGAAAATCATAGGCGCAACTAGAATAAAATTTTTGGGAGTGCTAAATTAATTTTTGCTCTAATTTTTTTTTAAATAACAAAATATGTTATCTTCTATATTTTTGGGAAGTAGATTTTTCGTCTGAGTGTCTAAGCTTCCTCCATAATTTCGTCTATGAATAGAGCGTGAGATAAATGCTTCCATACAATTAGTAGTTTTTATTAAAGATTCTTATGAAATTATTTGTCATTTTTTTTTTATAATGCTCAAATGTGTTTTAAATTTAATATAAACCTTTCCCTTTAAAGGTTTTTTTAATATAAGCTACTAAGGTCTTATAATAACATACGTCCGTCAAGGGCATCATGATGACAATTGCCTCCGTTTATTTCACTCCAGATACATCATTGAGTTGTCAGTTTGTTGTACATAGTTATGACTGTTGACATTTTTAAATATTTAATTGTAGTAGTCATACAAAATAATTATAAAATATTGATAGCTTAGTGTACAAAAGTGTATTTTTGCATTTTTTATGAGAGAAATTTGAATTTTTTTTATCATATTTCTTATTATTCTTTTTAATGAAATTTAATCGAACGTAACATTTATTTTACTTCCTAAATTTATATACAGTAAATTTAATCCTAAGATTAATATAATTGCAATGCTAAATCGTTTTCGTCAAAAGATCACTTAACTATTTTATGCATTAAACCATTGATAAGTTGTCTAATAATTTTTAATATTTATTACTTTTTTTTAGCTTCGATGCGAAGCTGAGAAGTTTTTAATTTTCCCATGATGTATTTATTTTTTTATTTTTTGTGTCTGTCACTACTTTTTCTCAGCTCTCACTAGACCCATTTTTTTCAACGATACGTCAAAAGATCACAAATCGTATTTAGTTGAAGACGGTACTCTCGAACATTGAAAATTTTTCCCTCGCTTGCCGTAAATGGTGAAAATCCCCCAAAAAATTACAATTTTTCAAAACTGTAAATTTTGAAATTTTTTTCACTTTTTTTCTCTAAAAATTGCCATAAATTATTGAAAAATGAACAAATCAAAATAATTTTTTTCATATTAAAACCTTTTTTAATAAATAAAACTTTTTTATTAAACTCAACTTTTTCAAGTTAAATTTTGAAAATGTTTCGAGATATCAGCGTCTTTTAAATATATATTAAAATAAAGCTTATTTTATGTACTAGTAGTTCAAAAAAAAATTTGTACCTTCGATCTATTTTTTATGTGCAAATGGCAGTCGAAGTAGAACAAAAAATAGGAGCTATTTTTGCATTTGGAATAATCCGCCAATTTCTTAAAATTAAACACTATCTACAGATTTGCATCGAAGCGTTTCTTATGGTAGCGATTTTAATGACTGTCACATATCATCTAAACTAGTCCCAACTATACTACGACCCCATTTTGGCTACTGTTTTTTTTTTTAATAATAGTATAGTAGTAATAAAATAATGAGAAGATATAGATAAAGCAACATTATATAGGTTTATATATATTACATTATATATTTTAAACAAATTAAAAAACATTCATTTTTTTTATATAAAATATTTTATAGGATATCATCCAATGGCATTGAAAGGTACACGTACAGGAGTCATTGTTTCGTTGTCTTCTAGTGAAACAGCTGACTGGTGGTCTAGAGATCCAGAAAAAGTGAATGGATACGAACTACTTGGAACTTTAAGAACTTTAGCTGCAAATCGTGTATCTAACTATTTTGATCTTAACGGTAATTTACACCAATTAGGTTTTTTTGCAACCATGTAATGTAGTTAATATTATTAAACATATATATATAAACATTAACAATAGGACCAAGTTATTCAATCGATACCGCTTCATCGACTAGCTTAATTGCCCTTCATCAAGGTTTTAGACTTATTCAAGATGGCGTTTGTGACAACTGTCTAGTTACAGGTGTTGACTTAGTTTTGAATCCAACAGTATCTCTTATGTTTCAAAATTTGAATATGTTATCACCTGGTGGTAAATGTCGATCTTTTGATGCTGAAGGTACTATAAAAAATTATTACAAAAGAATGAAAAATGTATTTTACTGGTTTGAATATTAAGGTGATGGATACGTCAGATCAGAAGCTATTGTTGCTATACTTTTGCAAAAAGCTAAGTCAGCGAAACGTATTTATGCTGGGTTATTGAATGTTGGTAGTAATGCTGATGGATACAAAGATGAGGGCATAACATTTCCCTCAAGAGAAATGCAAATCAGTTTGTTCAAACAAGTACAAAGACAAATTGGTGTAAATGCGACTAATCTAGCCTACTTAGAAGCCCACGGTTCTGCCACTAAAGTAAATTTTTTATCTTTAATTTATTTTTTTTAGTATATTATAACTTTTTAATATAAAAGAAAGAAAATGTAGCTTATTTTCTTTGTTACGTAATTTGAATTTATTACTTTGTTTATTTACATTTTTTTAGGTAGGTGATCGTCAAGAAGTCGGTGCTATTATTGATGTTTTTTGTAAGAATAGAACACACCCTCTCCTTATCGGCTCGCTCAAATCAAATATGGGACATGGAGAACCAGCATCAGCATTGTGTGCTGTTATTAAAGTTATTATAGCAATGGAGTGTAAACTTTTACCTCCCAATTTACATTACAAAATTCCCAACCCAGATATTCCAGCTCTATTTGATGGTCGGCTATCTGTAAGTATAGCAATACATTTTGAGTTACTCTCAATTTTTTTAATACTTTTAAAGTATATAATGTTTTTCATAGGTGGTCACTAAAGTTACTCCTTGGAATGGTGGTATAGTAGCAGTGAACTCTTTTGGTGTAGGAGGTGCTAATGGTCATTGTTTGATGAAATCTTTCCCTCAAAAGAAAGGTCCTCAAATATTGGCTGAAGAAATGCCTAGACTAGTTATTGTTTCAGCTAGAAATGAAAGTGCTATGACATTCATGTTAAATGGAGTAAGATACACGCATTGTATAATGCATCACTTGAAGAATAATAATTGAATACTAAAAATTAATTTCTTTTTTAGATTGATGGCTTTCCAAGAGATGAAGAATTTTATGCTTTATTGAATGATGTTCAAAGTGAAAATATTATTGGACATAAATGTAGAGGATATACTTTATTTAATAGCCTTTACGACAGAGTACGAAAAATTAAGGTATAAAAGTACAAATAAACGTTGATGATTAAATTTCGAAATAATCTTAGGGCATTTAAACAAAATTACTCTAATAATTTAGGAATTTGATGGCCTAAAACGTCCATTAGTTTTCGTACTTCCTGGCGTCAGTGTTTACTGGGCAGGCGTTGGAGCACAATTACAAAAATTGACAGTCTTTAGAGAATCTATTGAGAATAGTGCAAGTGTACTTCAAAAGAAAGGTTTTAACATTTATCCTGTTCTTAACTCTACAGATACAACTACAACTCAAAATCCACTTTTGTACGTTGTGGCAACAACTGTTGTGCAGGTATTTTTTTTTATTGTTCAAAGTTTTATTATCTCAATTGACTATTTACAATAATAAAAAATTCTTTATCATTTAAGGTCGCTCTTCTAAATGTATTAAAAAAAATCGAATTATCTCCAGACTACATTGTTAGTAATTCACTTGGTGATTTCGCAGCAGCTTTTGCCGATGGTGTATTGTCAGCAGAAGAAGCTGTTATGTGTGCTTTTGAATTAGGAAGCATTTTAGCTCAACTTAACTTAAAAGTATCCCAAAGTGGTAATAAACAGAATGGATATTTTATGTTTTTAAAGTCACTATTCAAATTTTATATTATTTCATTATATCTAATTTATATAGTGCATGAAAGCGTCAGGGCCAGTTATTTATTCATTTCAACATAATGAACATATATAAATTTTTTAATATTATTTAAAATCAAAAATCAAATTGCATAAATTTTTTTATCTCATTATAAAATTGCCAAATTTTGTTAAAGTAAAATAAAATAAAATCAATTTATATTAATCATCTACTTTATAAAATGGTTTTACGAAAAAAATTCTGAAAATAATTACAATAAAATAAAACATGTTTTTAGGTTTTTACATATTTTTATTAACTTAATGCAGCTAAATGAAACTAAAAAAAATTTTTAATTATTGAACTTACTAAATAAAACTTTTTTTCCATATTTTAGTTTTTATCAGAAAAATTAATATTTTCATCATTTTCGTCTTCTTTTTTTTCCTCGACTTGATCCCTACTACTAGAAAACAGTCACCCTTATCCTAAACTTCCACTTGACATGATCTACACTCACATCAGCCTTCCTCATATCTCATTCTATAACATCCCTCCATCTCCTTATTGATCTTCCGCTACCTCTAATTTCTTCAACTTTCATTTCTTAAACTGTTCTTACAGCTTCCGATTACTCCCTTCTCAAAACATGACTAAACCATCTAAGTTTATTTTCTGTCATCTTATTCACGATTGATGCTTACCGAACACTTATATACTGAGTGTCAAGTAAGTAAGGAAACCGGTCAATTGTTACAAACAATAAGAATAATAGAGACCCATTTCTTTACTAACTTAAGATTTTATATATATATATAATTATTACAAGTAATCAATCAACAAAATCGTACAAACAAAATTAATTTTAATTAAAAAATGTTTATTAATTATATTATTTGGTATTAATAAATTTAACAACAGAAAGTCATTTTCATAATATATTTAATAAAAACTATTTAATTAATAGTAAATCTTAAATGATGAATATGACCATAAAAAAGAAAACTTTAAGTATTATACTTAGAAAACATAAATATATAATTGCAATTAAAATCATATTTTGAAAAAATTAAATATTTCTAGGTTTTATCAAGTTTTAAAAATATTTAAATAGTTTTTAAGGAGACATTTTGTATGCATTATGAGTATATTTTGGTCTATTTAGGTTTTTAGAATTATTAAGGGTATTCTTAGGCTTTTTAATATATGTATGCATCATATAGTTGAGGATTTTTTAGATCAGTCGGAAACGCGTTGTGCTTTAGATGAATAGGTATCTGGGTTTCATTGTGTTGCGCCGGGCTATGTAGATTTTCTCGCCGTCTCTAACACAAGCATAGATTTTCAGAGAGTACATTAAAAATAATAGGATTATTATAATATTTCAAATTATTATAATATAATTTTTAATTGTTAGAATTATAATAATATAATATATTATTTGCGTGAACTGGAATTATATCTTTAGGGGGAATTCATATTACTAAGTTGAATACTTAAACCCGAAATTTATTTAAAACAAGGACGAAATTCTAAGGGTAGTAGGATAGTGTACCACTTGAGATGGTTAGCATAACTTTTCTATAATTTGAATCAATAGTTTTAATTGTTTAGATGACTAAAAACATTTATTATAATAAAATTATACAAAGGTATTTTTATATTAATAAAAATCACTTTAAACGCACTATACCCCCTACAAAAATAATAAGAACAAATTTATGTACATTTATTGTAAAAGTAATTGTTATTAGTTCCAGTAATAACTTCTAATGATGTATCAAAAGTTTCGAAGCAATTGCAATCCATTTTACAATCAGTAAGACTAAAACTAATTATAAATACATATATATATATAATTATTTTATTTTTACAATTTTCAGGTTATGAGCTCATCTAAAAAAATTTCAAATCGTTGGTTGAACGCATCTCAAGTATCATCAAATCAACCAATTTCAGCCGCATATTTTGTTAACAGATTATCATCTGACGTTTCTCTTCATGTATGAAAATAATTTAACATTAGTTAATTTGTTCAACTAATATAGAGATTTTTATAGAGTATGTTAGCTAAATGCCCAGATGACGCAATTTATCTACAAATTCTTAACCAAATCGATTTACAAAATAATTCAGCAATAAATAAAAATTCAGTTTATATAAATTTAATAGAAGACAGTAATGATACCTTGAAACAACTATTACTTAGCATTGGAGAGTAAGAAGTTAAATTATTGTTCGAATAAACAAAATTTCGATCTTATTGTAATATAATTTATTTTTTTTAGTTTATTTAATGCTGGTCTCCAACCTCAAATCAAACATCTTTATCCACCAGTTAAATATCCAGTTTCAAGCGGTACTCCTATGATTCAGTCCTTAGTTGAATGGGATCATTCCGTAAAATGGCACGTTGCTACTTTCCATGGAAAGGTATCATTACTTTATTTTTTATTTCTACTTAGTTTTTATAACGTATAAAACTCCTTTGTTAGCCTCCATCAAATTCTGGTGAGATTAAATTAAACGTCGATATGAACTCAGAAGAATACAGTTTCTTAAAATCTTTTACGATTGATGATAAACATTCATTCCCTTATTCTGGATATTTGGTAAGTTTTTGCTAGAAATAGGAAAACCATATAATGATTTTTGTAGTATTTTATTTTGATAACTGTAGTTATAATATTTTTAGGCTTTAGTTTGGGAAGGATTAGCTAAATTAATGTACAAAGAATTAGTTGAAGTTCCAGTTGTCTTTAATAATGTAGAATTTTTAAAACAAACTATAATACCAGAAGAAGGTAAATTTTTATTATTAACTATAAAATATTAATTTTATTAAAAAAAATTTATGAATAGGAACATTGAATTTCGTATTGAATATTTTAACATCTGGTGAATTTGAGTTGCAAGAATCGGGTGAAATTGTTGCTCTGGGCCAGATATGTTATTCAAATTCTCTAGATAAAATTTTACTTGATTTAGTTTCATCTAGAAGTAAAGGGGAATACTTACCATTAGAATCTAATGATGTTTATAAAGAATTACGTTTGAAAGGTTATGATTATAAAGGCATACTCAGAGGAATTAAAGAAATAGATAATATCGGTAAATCATTGCTGTAATAACCTAATAATGACTTATTAGATAACATAATATTATTATTTAGGATACAATGCAAAGGTTAATTTCAATTCCAACTGGTTGGCGTTTTTAGAAAGTTTGTTTCAAATCCCATTATTCCAAGTAGACACTCGTGAATTATATATTCCAAGGTATATTAAAAAAGTAGTCATTGATCCACTGAAACTAATGAAAATGGCAGAAAGTTTAAACAATGGTATAAAATGAGACACACTTTGTTAAATTTACTATCAATTACCAACTTTAACTATAATATAAAAAAAATTTAAAAACAGTTATTCCAGTTACATACCATAAACATGTCGACGTTATTAAAGCTGGAAGTATCGAAGTAAAGGGAATGGAATTTGACCGTGTTACTATAAGACAAAAAATTCAGAAAGATCCAAACTTAGAGTTCTACACCTTCCAACCATACATAACAGATGAAGTAATAACAATAATGATTTATTATATTTAATTTATTATTATTTAATGTACTTATTCATTTCTTTTTCTTTTTTTATTTATACTGATACACAATTAAATGACTGTGTGTATTTTCAAAGTTGTCATTTTATTGTCAGCATTGTCGATATTCAGGATTTTAATTTTCTTTTTAAATATATGCAAAAGGCTATTTAATACGTATTTATATTTCTTGTATTAAAGTTTTAGTTTTTATCTAAAATAAAACCTTTTCAATAATTAAAATGTATCTACTTTCCATTTCTCATAGCCATCAAGAAATGCCTTAGACACATGCGTACAATTGGTTTTTGAAAACAGTGGTGGTGCTTTCAAACTCAAAGTAGCTGAAGTTGGAACTGGAAAAACATTAGAACAACTCTTTGCTAAATCCATCACAGACATTATCAACACAGAGCCAATGCCCAATGTTAGTTAATTGTATTTGAATTAGTTTTTATTTAATTACTATTTTAAAAAAATATCTAGGTAGACATAACTGTTTATGCTGACGACGTAAGTTCTATTGCCGAACCACTTAAAGAAATTGGTATTCGTACTGCACAAAAGGATGTTTTCAGTTCAGAACCAATCGATTCTAACTGTCATTTAGTTATAGTAGTAGATCAACTCACAAATTCAACCATGATCAAAAACGCAACTGAAAGTTTAAAAAATGGTGGATGTGTTTTATTTGTAGAAAGTAAAAAACCATCTGAACAGCAAATTAATTCTACTGGTTTAGAATTGGTAGCTAAATTACAATCTCAAGATAATAAAACCTTTATTCTACTTCGAAAAGTCAGTCGATTAATATTATAAATATAAGAATAAGTTTAAAATATTGTAACATACTTTTAATTATAGAAAGTTGACTTACCACAACCAATCGTTGTATATTGTACCGGCAATGATTTTTCATGGATTGAAACATTTAAATCTGCTTATCAGAAAGCTGAACATGAAAATAAACAAATACTTCTGGTAAGCCAAGATATTGAGTATTCAGGGATTTTAGGTTTTGTAAACTGTGTCCGATTAGAACCTAATGGTAATGCTCTAAGGTAGGTACACAAAAATTCAAATATTTTATAATTGGAATTTTTATTTTTATTTTTTATACATTTTAATTATTTAATTCTATAATTATTAGGTGTCTTTTCATTGAAGATTCAAAAGCTCCCAAGTTCTCTCTTACTTCTGATTTCTACAAAAAACAGCTAAAAAAAGATTTGCTTGTAAATATTTTACGCAATAACGAATGGGGAAGTTATAGACATTACTTATTAGAGGATCAATCTAACAATACAAAAAAATCAGTAGAATATGCATTTATCACCACAAAAAAAATTGGAGATTTGTCATCATTATGCTGGACTGAAAGTAGCTTGAGATACTTCAAGTAAATTTATTTATTTATTGATTTTTATAATGTTTTAATATTTTTTTTGTGAAAAAAGTAGTCATGAAAACTCTAGAAAAGATTTATGTACAGTTTATTATTCTCCAATAAATTTTTTGGATGTGATCTTCGCAAATGGAGTATTATCACCAGGATTTAACGCTGATGAACTAAATATGGGAGCATATCTAGGAAGAGAATTTTCCGGCCGAAATTCTAAAGGACAAAGAGTTTTTGGTTACAGTTCTGGTAGTGCTTTAGCTACTCATGTCACAGTAGATAATTCAACCCTATGGGAAGTTCCAGACAAGTGGACGTTAGAACAAGCATCGACAATACCCTTAGCTTATGCTATGGTAATAATTTGTAATAATATTTGTTATATTGGTATTGTTTGTAATAACTATACACAAAAATAATAAATAATACATTACGAATCTATTTTTATTTCATATTTAGGCATATTATGGAATTTTTATTCGTGGTAAACTGCAAGCAAATGAATCTATTCTTCTACATAATGGAGGAAACTACAATATGTTGGCTGCTTTACATATTTTACAAAACCATGATGCAGATATTTATGTTTCGGTATTAAATGAATCCCAAAGAAAATATATTTTAAAAACATATCCAAAAGTATTAAAAGACATTTTTTATAACTATATATCATTTATTAAAAAGGATTGATTAAAATTTTGTTTAGATACCAAGTGATCATATTGTTAACAACCAGGCATTTGAAAAAGAAATTCTCGACAAGACAAATGGTAAAGGCGTCAAATTTATTTTCAATATTTGTCATCCTGAACCAAAAATATTACGAAGTTTCATTCGTGCATTGGCTGAAAATGGGCGCATTATAGAGTTTGAAAGACGTCGTTTCCAAGTTGAATCAATTGGTAACTATTTAAAAAATATAATTTTAATAAAATATTCATTGAAAGTTTTAAATTTACGAACAATTATAATTTTTAGGCGTTTCGGGAAATTTCAAAAATATTTCAATAGTAAAAATGAATATGAAAACTTTCTTAGAAGGTAAACATTCTTTATCTGAAAAAAAAGAAATCCACAAGTTAATAAATGATGGAATAAAATCGGGTATAATTCAACCACTGCCTAATCAAATTTATAGTAATGATAGTAGCTTGGTTGAAGCATTTAAGTATGAATAAAACTAAATTATTTAATTATAAATTACTAAAATGGTATTTAAATACTTGTATTAGAGCTGCTTATAGCACAGAATTAATTGGAAAAGTTACATTTAAAATTCGTGATGAAGAATCAAAAAAAAATGTTATCCCAGTATCTCATAAAGTCCAAGCATTGCCAAAAACATTTGTGGATCCAACAAAATCATATATTGTAGTTGGTATGGCATAATTTTTTTAATTTGCTTAAAAAATATTTCTAATTTTTTTTTTTTTACAGGTGGTTTGGGTGGATTTGGTTTACAGGTAGCAAATTTCTTAGTAAGTAGAGGAGCAAGAAAATTGGTTTTAGTATCAAGAAGTGGTGTTCGTTCTGGATTCCAGTCATTGTTCCTTAGAAGGTGGCATGAAAAAAATGTTCAAGTAGTAACAGTTGAATATGATACTTCAAATATTGAAGGAGCTGAAGCACTTATAAAAAAAGCTAACAAATTAGGACCTGTCGGAGGAATATTCCAATTAGCTGCTGTAAATAAAATTATTATTTTTCTTACGTGTGTAATGTTTGTGTTTAATTAAATTACATTAGAACTTTTTATGATCCAGGCATTACATGACGCTTTAATTAATGATTTAACGGTAGATCATTTCCATCTGGCTAATGATCCCAAAGCTATTTCTACTCTTAACTTAGATCTTGCATCTAGAAAATTATGCCCACAATTAGAATATTTCATTGCTTGGTCTTCTGGAACTAGTGGTCATGGTACAGCTGGACAATCCAACTATGGTTATGCAAACTCTGTAGTTGAAAGAATTTCCGAAGCACGTCAAGCAGCTGGATATCCATCGGTATGTCATACTTATTCACTTGGATCTTTTTTTTTATAATTCAATAAAAATATTATATTTTAGACATGTATTGAATGGGGTGCTATTGGAGATGTTGGAATGGTTTTAGACGCATTAGATGACAATAATGCAAATATTGGTGGAAGTTACCCACAAAGAATGGCATCTTGTTTAAATGCTCTTGATAATTTTATGCAAAAACCACATCCAGTACTTTCTAGTATGGTTCTTGTAGAAAAGAAAAAAGCAATAGGAGATTCGGGAAAAGCTGGTCCAATTGATGCTGTTGCTAAAGTTTTAGGCAAATAAAGCATTAATTATATTTATATTCTCCATTGACGACATATATTAATCCTTAAAATTTATTATTATAGGAATTAAAGATACTAGTAATGTACTAGGAACCTCAACATTAACTGAACTTGGAATGGATTCATTGATGGGTGCTGATATAAAACAAGTTCTAGAAACTGATTTTGATATTGAACTTAGTGCCAAAGAAATTAGAGAATTAACGTTTAACATACTCAAGGAATTATCAAGCATCGATGCTGATTCTGAAGAAAACAATGAAGTAAATACAACATTTAATTTAAGTAAAAATAAAATAGTTGATTGAAAAAATATAATTTTTTAATTTTTTAGCCTACGTCGAAGAAACTTCAAGAAATTAATGATATGATCGTTTGCGGTTAATTGACATATAATTATTATTTTATTACTTAAATGTTAACTTAAATTTTATTAAAATTTATAAATTATAATAATTAATATATAATATAATAATTATTCATTGAACATTTTTGTACTTCAATTGTTGCTTTTAGTCTAGTGTAGAATCAGAATATAATTCAAGGGGAGGGGTTATTATCTTTTTTTAGCTTCAATGTGAATCTAAAATAGTATTAATTTTACTATGGTATTTTTTTTTAGCTTCGATGCGAAGAAGCTTTTCTGATAAATTTACTTTATAGTAATTGTTTTGTGGGTTTATTTAATGACATAATCAACACCGCAATTAATTTTAGTAAAACTATATTGATGAAACTTGCATTACAATTGGGCACTCACACGTGTGTTACATGTTATCTGGACCGGGTGTAACTATATTACAATCGTAAAGATTATCACTACTCAATACACAACAGTAATTATAAAATTTACTGACTGCATATTAATCTTAACAATAACATTTTTTTAATTCCCATATAATTTTCTATTTAATGATGTTAATTTCAAACTTGCAAGTTGAACTAAAAATTATAGTAACTAATTCAACTTTTTTTTATTATAAACTTTCACAAAAACAATTTTAAAGGATCAAAAAAATAGGTTATTTTGATTATTTTACCTCCTCAAAGTTAAGAAAAGCGACTTTTAGAACTAACTAAAATTGTTATTTTTATCTACTTGTACATTTAGTGCACGGGGGCTACGTCATGTAGTTTCATAATGTTTCGTACGAGGCATCTAGACCGAAGAACAGCTAGTTGTGCACCGCATTAGAACGCCATCTTACCTTAGACCTGTTTAAATCGCTATTATTAAAGCGAGAGTGGTCACCTGGCAGGACGACGGCTAAATCCAATAAATAACGAGAGTAGACAATAATTAAATAACAAATAGCCTCATATATTAAAGGTTCTTCAAAGAGAATCTTAAATTTAAGGGGTAATGGATGGCTGCTAAATATTAATGGCCGACGAAGCGGCATAAAAAAAATAGTTAAACTCAATTAAAACAAATAATAAATAACATTAAAAAAAATATGATACTTAGCTGAAATTGTTGATAGTGGTGAGTGGACTGCATGAAATCTTATAAAAATGGTGTCTAACATCTGAGTATCACGAGTGTAGATGCAGGCACGTAATGGTGGATGACAATAGACGGCGAAAATGCGACTGACTACGGCAGTGAAGTTATTTCGTAATGGTCAGGGACCAATTACTATACTCTTCCCTTGTAAGATTACATAAAATAAGAATTACTTTCTTTTATTATTATTATTACTATTATTTATTATTATTTTACTATATGGTTTTTGTGTCTGTAATTAATTTATTTCAGCTCTCACTTGACCAATACATCAAAAGAACACGATTTTAATCATGTTGAACTTATTAACACCAATTATTGGAAAAAATCCTTTGATTTTAGCAATTTAGACAAATATTTGAAAAATATGCTACTGTAAAAAATGGCAACCTCAATTAAACCTTTTTTTTAATTAAATATCTCCAAATTAAAAGGAGTATACACTTGATTTTATACTGAATTACAAATTAAAATCATATCTCTAAAATGAAATATATTTAATGATCATAGACCAATGTATGCTTTACTAAACCAAATTTTTCAATTAGATTTCAAGTCTGAAATTAGTTTTTTTTAATTACCTCATTTTTAAGATTATGACTATTGAGAAAACGGGTATTTGAAAATTTTTAATTAAAAAGAAAATTTTATCAAGTTATTATTTATTTTTAATATGTTAAAAGTAATCCGTGCTAAATTTCAATTTAAAATGTCACTTTTAACTTATTTTTTTATCTTATAAGGTCAATTTTTATGAAAGTTTATAATTTAAAAATGTTGAACTTTTAATCACAATATTAGCTCAAATTGCAAATTTAGAATGTATAACATTAAATAGAAAATTTTATGAAGAATAAAATATTGTATTTTTAGATTGATAAGTTATAAGAAACTTATACAATTATTATTAACAGTAAATTTATGAGGAAAACTTAAAATTTTGTTAAAATCATTATTTATTTTTATTTTTATTTTTATTGTAATAAATTATTCAAATTGAAGTCTTAGTAATCGTTTCTATGTAATTCTCGGTGTTTAAATAGATACTACATTTGAAATATTTACAACTATATTCCGTATAGTTTGATTGTATAGTATTCTATAATATACTGATATTCAAAAATATTCCATGTCTATATAATAGGTCTATATAATAGGTGAAATTATAATTTCACCTATTATATCGTTGTGTTGTTGAATTTCATTTTAATATATATTTGTTTGGTTATATTTTTATATGTGAATAATTGTTTTTAAATATTAATAATATTTAAAATTAGTGGTTACGGAAAAAATCTTATTGCAAATTTGAAATCGGCACAAAAATAGGTTTAGAAAAGTATATTTTGGTTTCTGATGAAATTTTCTTGTAGATCAGTAAATTTATTTCTAAGAAACAAACAAATTATTTTTTTGAAGTATTTCATTAAACCCTTTATCTTTTATTTATGTTATAATAAACCTTATAATTTTTTATAATTTCACCGTAAAAATTACAATACTAAGTATCAATTTCATGCTGCGTTGAATTACTATAATGTACATTTATTTGTATATTATACTTATAAATCATAGAACTACTAATTAGGAATAATGAAGGAAATAGGAGTTAATTTTGCTTTTGGAAGAATCTGCCAATTTCTTGAAATTAAACACTAGCTACAGATTTGTATCGAAGCATTCCTTATGATAGTTATTTTAATCACTGTCACACATCATCTATACTTGTCCCAACTATGCCCATCCACACGTATTAAATAACTAAATTTTAGTTAATGCTATCAGTGCCACAATTAAGTTTATATTTTTAGCTTTCACTTTATATTGTAATAACTTCAGGCATTTTCTATGTCAACGTTGTACTTTTTTTTTAAATCCAATCATTAATCAAGGTACTCTGAGGGTTTTATAATCGTTTCAACATATTTTTTCTTTATTTTCTATTTTATTTTACTTAAATATTTTTTTAGTGTTTAAAAAAATCCGAATTCTTAAGCATGCATTAAATTAAAAATAGCTTTACTATACTTTAAGATGAAAAAATAAAATTTATCTGAAACCAAATTTTTGGTTAATGCATTACGCAAATAAAATTTAGTGTCAATATTTAAGACAAGTATAAAAAGTACTTTCAACGTACTTCTTTTAAAAATCCTATATTTGCCAAAATAATGTGAGAGGTTAAAATCATCATATTCACTAAATTTTTTTTTCAATTTTTTATTATTCCTAAAACCTGACTTCTTGAAACTTACATTAAATAAAATATAATACAATGTATTTTAAGATGAAAAAAGAAAACTATACTGAATCTCAATTTCTAGCAGTCTTAACTTTTTTATTATAACATTAAGTTTTTCTCAAACATTTGGATAAAGTCACGTATGGTGTTAGTATTTAAAGTTTAATCAAATTATTTTATATTATTAAATAGCAAAAAGTAATTATTGTTACTTTATGTTTTTATTTAGACGTATAAGTAATTAAAAGATTAAATCTGACCAAATAAATCAGTAGGAACTTTAAATCCCCACTTAAGATTTTTATAATCTTTGTTTTAAAACACGGCAGATTAAGTTCGTTGCTCTCGTGTACCATTAATTATATATGTTAAACACATAAATTAGTTTACATAAATTGATATTATTTTTACGTTTATATTGCATTATGACTTAATAATTTTAATATCTAACACCACATATTTGTAAAATTACTGGTAAAATAAAAAATAAAAATTATTATTACTGAGAACTTTTTAATTAAATATCAAATATAGTTATAAGTTAAAAAAAAAATGATTGTTGTATTTTAATTTTTTTATGCAATTAATTGATTTTCATTTTTCGACAAAAACGTATGAATTAAATAAATACTGTAAACTATTAAAAATTCTCTCAAGAAATTTGGCTTACTCTGGTATAATCCAAAAAGGTATACATTATTACAATTTTTTCATTTTCATCGTTTCAAGGATTAGATATTTAAACATATGTTTAGTGCTATGCTCGAAAAAATAATAAATTCATTTAAGTATAAAAGAGTTAAAATAAAAAAACTATACGTCTAAATTCTTATAATAGTTAAGATTACTTAAAAATAACAATTGTTAAACTAACTCTGTATATTTGGTTACTTAAATGAATAAAAAAGTTCACAATATTTAAACTGAACAAAATCGATTAAACTTATTTCATAATCAAGATTTATATATTTTTATAAATTAATTGTAACTTTTCTTTAATCAACTTCCCCTTAAAGAGTCAGTGAAAATCCGTTGATTTTATATTCTATAAATTTATTTTAGACTACATAATTAATTTTCAATATTGCATAGTATAAAAACAATTTCTTTTGGGAATTTTTGTTACTAGAAATATTTTTAATAATTCAATAGAATAGATTTAAACTATTACAAAAAGATTTAAAGATGTACTTACATTTCTTAAAATTAAATTTTAATATTCCTTAAATTTATTGGTAAAATTTATTACTACAATCATCAACTTTGAATCAATTATAGTAGTGGTCTATTTATTCAAATCATGTTATTTTATAATAAATTAATAATTGTACAGATAAAACGATTAAAATGTCAATAATTATTGGCGTATAAAAACTGACTTTAACTAATCATATGGCTCATTATATTAGAGATAAGATTTAGATTAGCAATATTTTGAAATATTTATATATATACATGTATCTCCTAAAATTATAAAATGTGGACCTACTTCTTTTATATAGGAAAGCCCTTTGATCTTATGGTTAAAATTTTGACTTAAATAATTTTATTATGAATATATTGAATTCCAGTGCTTAATATAATAAATATGAACAATATTAATGATGACGACACAACTTGTGGATTATGGCTATTTAAGCCAAAATGGTTACAAATATTTGCTAGTAAAAAGTCATACGTCATTCTATATGGATTATTGGGATTTAATCAATCTTTTTTATCTTCTTATTATATTGGTATACAAACAACATTAGAAAAAAGGTTCAAATACTCTAGTCAAATGAGTGGTATGTATATTTAAAAAGAAAGCCTTTGTCAACTCAATCTTTAGTTATAATCATTAACATTTCTTCATATAAAACTTGACAAATATCGTATACAAACACTTTTTTAGCGTTTTGCTATTTATTATATAACTTAATTATTTTTTTTATTAGAGGTTTTTATTTCATTATTTAAAGAAACATTATGGATGACCCAGATTTGCAACTACCATTTTATGTAATTTTCATAATATATAATTAAATTGAAGTCATCGCAATAATTTTTGGCTATAGGTATGATATCAAGTGTATGGGACTTATTTTCGATATTTTCATTTTTATTTGCGTCCTACTATGGTGGCAAAGGTCACAGAGCTCGGTGGTTAGCTATTGGATTTTTACTTGTTGCCTTGTCTAACTTCATTCGAGTTTTACCACATACGATTTATGGACCTGGTAGCGATGTACTAAAATACACAAAAGATTACAATCGAGCCCTGATTATAAATTCATCAATAATTAACTCAACAAGTAATTATAGTAGTCATTTAAAACTAAAATACCATTATAAAAAAATGTGTTGTTATTATTAAAAGTTCATTCATCATTTTTGCATGTTACCCAATATAATAAGTTCAATTTATTTGCATAAACATAATTGTCGTTTAAAATTTTCAAGTAAACAACAACAAATTATGCAATGACAAAATTTTATACAAAGACTGTGAAAATTTAGAATTTTGGAATTTTCCCGCTTTGATATTATGTGTTGCCCACGCAATAGTTGGCTTAGGAGGCTCTGTGTATTTTACGTGTGGAACCGCTTATTTGGATGATAATGTTAAAAAAAATTCGGTTCCTTTATTATTAGGTAAGATAATGATTATTTTTATCATTAATATAAAAAATGTTATTTCTATTCCAGCCACCACTCAGTGCATACGAATGATGGGGCCTGCATTAGGATTTGCATTCTCAGCGTATACATTAAATAAATTTGTCAACCCCTCTCTGACACCAGTCATTACTAGCGAAGATCCTAGATGGATAGGTGCTTGGTGGATGGGTAATTATATATATAATTATAGGGTGGTCCTTATTTTTCAAACTAAATTTTTTTATGACAGTACCCACTAGATTAGTTTAGTGGTATAAGAAAGTAATGTAGGTAAAATTTGGAAGGTTTTATTGAACATCTACTGGTGCCGCATTGGGATTGAACTATGACAATTGAGGGTAGTTTATTTTTTTTGAGTTTAACTTAATAAGTATTACACTTAACCTTAAAATATATAAAATCTTAATTTCAGAACTTATTATTGACTATAAAAAAAGGTATTAACAAAATTTTCATATATCAATTATACTTTGAAAAAAATAATAAAACATGATAAATTTCATAAAAAGTTGACATAATACTTTTACACAAATCATATTACGTAAAAATTATTTTAGAAGTCAACTATCTAATTATTGACTGAAAATAAATTTTAAAAAACCTGTTTTATATACTATAAAAACATAATTATTTAAAAACTCGTTTTTATTTTGATCATGAAATTTAGAATTAATATTTTCTGCAATTGTCAAATTTCAATCCCAATGCAGGCTCAGAAGGGGTTGAGTTAAACCATCAAAAATTAGCCTATAATATTTTTTTATATGATTAAACTAATTTAGAAGGTAATGTGTAAAAAATATTTTTAAAAAAAACCCAGCACAGAGGGGTCGCGGTACAGTGGGGACATGGCATAGTTGTGTCCAGTATAGATTTAATCTGACAGTGATCAAAATCATCATCATAAGAAACGCTTCATTGCAAATCTATAGATAGTGTTTAATTCTAAGAAACTGGTGGATAATTACAAAATCAACTTCTATTTCCTTAATTATATCCAAATTAGTAATTCATAGATTCAAAAATATAATCTATAATTTTTATAATTAATTTTTTTCAAATTATTATCGATTTTGATTTTTAATATGTTAAAAGTTATCATTTTTGACCTACTTATTTTTGTCCTATAAAGTGAAAATTTTTATAAAAAAAAATGAATATTTTACCATAACTTTTAGTTCAACTTGCTTGTTTGAAATTGACATCATTAAATAGAAAAAAATAGTATTGTTAAGATTAATATGCAATCAGAAAATTTTATAATTACCATTTACAGAAAATTTAACAGAAAAACTCGATTTTTTTTGCATTTTATTATAATAGATCACTTAAATAAAAATCATAGTTATCATTTCTAATTAACTTTTGGTGTTTAAAAAGATTCTATAATTGAAATATGTAGAACTCAATTAATTTTAATGATTTACTTTTACTAAAAAACCAATGAAAAAAAGTTGTAAGTGTAAAATGATCTACTAAATTGAGCATATTATAAATTTTGATTATAATTGTAAAAATCCATTGTCATATTCAGGTGAAATTAAAAATCATTTTTTTTTATATTTATGATTTATATGAGAATATGTTACAAAAAAAAATTGGAATATTAATTAAAAAAAGACTGGTAGTAGCATACACAAATATAGTTAAAAAATTAATAAATTACAAAGTAAAATTATTTATTATTGTAGCTGAATACTTTTATCATATCAAATTCAGCAGCCATTTTCCTATAGAAGAAAAGGTGTTGAGACAAATTTTTTTTTTTTGAACTTATTGTATTTATTGTAGCTTTAATTTGATATATAAAGGACGCAGTATTTCCGGAAAATTTTCAAAATTTCTACTTTTTATTCGTATTTATCAAGTTTTGAACCCCTCCTGTGTAAAGAGAAATTGTCCAACTTCAATAAAAAGTATTTTAAATGAAAGAGGTATGTATAATGTATTTAGAAAAAAAAATCGTGTTGATACATACATTATTTAAAAAGTTATAATAGTTTAAAGTGGAAATTTTAAAATCGAAAAATTAAAAAATAGCATTTTTTTAACTATAGCAGCCATTTGCACGTAGAAGATAATATGTGCGGGACAATTTTTTCATTTTATAGTACATGACATAAGTTTTAATTTTGATATACGTTTAAAGGATGCAGTATTTTCGGAACATTTTCAAAAGTTAAGTTGAATAAGCTAGTTTTTGAAAAAAGTTACTATTTTAAATCTCCTCCTGTGAGCAGTTTAAGGGTTAGATTTTCAAAAAAATGATATCAAATGAAAGGTAAAATGAAAATATAGGTATTAATAAAAAAAAAATTCAGTTATTTTGTTAATTTTTAAAAAAGTTATGGTAGTTTTAAGAAAAAAAGTAAAAAAAATTACTAAATTTACCAATTTGAAAAATTGTAACTTTTTTGGAGATTTCCCCTATTTACGGGAACGAGAGAAATATTTTCAATTTTTAAAGAAAATGTTTTCAATTAGATACGATTTGTGATCTTTTGACATATTGTTCATCAAAATCGGTCCAGTGAGAGTTGAGAAAAAGTAGCAACAGACACAAAAAAAAAACATCATGGTAAAATTAATATTTTTTCAGGTTTGCATCAAAGCTAAAATGTCTATCTACATAAATAAGGACTACCCTAATATATATGTTATATTTAATGATAAATAAGACAACGATGAATTGTTTTTTGAATATTATTTTCTAGTATAAATATTGTAGCGTTTTAAACAGAATTTTTATCAATCAAGACTTAAAAACTCTAATAATTTTATTAAATAGTTTTCAAGATGCCTTTGGTTGTTATATCAAACTTTGATATATTTTTATTTAAGTATACAAAAAATTTTATTTTTAAACTTAGATATATCAATAATTAATAAATTTAACCAAAGTGACATGAAATATTTTGTAATAAAAAAAATAAACAATTAAGTTAATTCTTATTTTAGGTTGGGTACCCCTTGGAACATTTACTATGCTGTGTGCTTGTTTGGTAGGTTTATTTCCTCAAGCTCTTCCTAAAGCAGTGGCTCGTAAAAATGAACAATCAAAGAATAATACTAAAGATCTTATGCCTACAGGTAATTTTAAAATCATATAAAATCCATATCTTCCGATCACAAATTGTAAACTTTATCTTAGTTAAAATCATTTATGTAATATTATAAAACTTACAATTTTATAGTTTTCTATTTAATATAAAAAGATTTTTCATATAATTTAATGAAGACTTCACTTAACAGTTATTTATTAATCTAAAGATTCTATATAAATAAATTTATATAAAATTCAATTTTTTGAACATATTATATTTTGAAATAAAATGTGGCGTGTTGATTAGTCGCCGCCTTATCGTTGATTTTCAACTTCGCTGTTTACTATTATATCTCATATGGTCACTTATTGGTGAACTAATAGTGATACACACCTTACCTCCCAAGAAACCAAACTTTAACAGTGACACACACTTAGTCTCTATATTGGCTCCCTCGACCATAATGGTGTTGCATCAAATTAATAGCGGTGTAAAAATGTCAAATTATATGATTATCTGACCACAGATAGTTAGAATAGAGGCTAAGGTGATATTGTTTGCATTTTGAAACAAAAATCACTATAATTGCTCAATTAAAATCAAAATTAAAAGATAAAAAAATTATTTTTAATGCGGTTTGTTATAAAAATTAGTTGAATAACTAGTAATCAAACAAAATAGTTGAAAACCGCTTATCAAACAATCTTTAACGATAATTCTTAGATTTAAAATCTTCAATGAAACGGATATTGAGTAACAAAGTAATGATGTGTAATTCATTAAGTAGTTCATTTTTCATACTTGGATTAGTGGGTTACTGGAATTTCATGCCAAAATATCTGGAAACACAATTCCGACAAAGTGCTTCAACATCAAATTTTGCTTCAGGTATTTAAGTGTTATGTATTTTAGACAAACTTATCTTAAATATATGATAAAAATCTTTAAATAGTATAACTTACTCAAGGTGATTTTATATTTTAATGTCTTGTTACTTTCAATAAAAATTAGCTATTTTTCATAGGTTCCGTAAGTTTACTATGTTCAGGATTAGGTATTATTGTATCAGGTGCCATAATTTCTAAATTTAAACCAGCACCCCGAAAATTAGCCCTATGGAACGTTATTGTAGAATCCATTGAAGTTATGACATACGCTTTATTCACATTAATAGAATGTTCATCCAACGATTCTTTAAATGGACATTTTAATGTAGACAATAAGTAAGTGTAGTTAAATTAAAAATATAAATTCAAATGAATATTAAAAAGTCCAATAGTTATAATTTTTAAAAATCTGAATTTTTTTCACAAGTTTAGAATAAATAAATATATAATTATTTAAATTTTTAAATAGCTATAAATGTTTTAATGTAAATTCATACAAATAAACTATAAAACTTTGATTACTATTCAGATAAAAATAAATATAATTCGTCTCCTATCTAGATAAAATTAAGATAAATAGCAATTTTTTTTTTTAATTAATTACCACAATTTCTTGAAATGTTTTTTTTAGTATTGCAAGTAAGTAACTTCCATTTTATTATCAACACTTATAATAAACTTTTTCCTCTAAACTGTCGTAACTCAAAAATTAATAAAAAAATATAAAAAATACCCAGCACAGTGGGGTGGCGGCACAGTGGGGTCGTGGCATAGTTGAGTCCAGTATAATNCTATCATAAGAAACGCTTCGATGCAAATCTGTAGATAGTGTTTAATTTTAAAAAATTGATGGATAATTGCAAAAGCAACATCAACTTCTATTAAAATAGTGTTTAATTTAAAAAAAAAATTTGTTAAAATAGCATATTTTTGAATACGGTAGCCATTTGCGCATAGAAGATAGGTCGTCAGGACAAATTTTTTTATTTTATTTTATAGTACATAAAATAAGCTTTAATTTGATATATGTTTAAAGGACGCAGTATTTCCGGAACATTTTCAAAAATTAAGTTGAAAAAGTTATTTTTTATAAAAAAGTTACTATTTTAAATCCCCCCAGTGAGCAGAATAAGTGTTAGATTTTCAAAAAAAATTATATCAAATGAAAGGGAAATATCTAAGGTTTCAATACAAAAAAATATTATTTTTATTTGTTCATTTTTGAAAAAGTTATGGCAGTTTTAAGTACAAAAAACATCCCGATAAAATGTAATTTTTATCGCAAACATTACATTTTTTTTTAAATTTTCGACAGCCATTTGCACATAGAAGATAAGATGTCGGGACAAATTTTTTTTTTTCATTTGATAGTATATAACATAACCTTTGATTTGATATATGTTTAAAGGACGCAGTATTTCCGGAACATTTTCAAAAGTTCAGTTGAAAAAGATCTATGTTTTTTACAATATTTTAAGTTTTGAACGCCCCCTATATAAGGAGAAATTGTCCAATTTTAATAAAAAGTATGTCAAATGAAAGATGTACTTATAATGTATTTAGAAAAAAAAAATTTGTGCTGATATATACATTTTTCAAAAAGTTATAGCATTTTTAAGTTGAAAATTTAAAATCGAAAATCGAAAATTTTAATAAAAAATAGTGTTTTTTTAACTACGGCAGCAGTTTAAATGTAGAAGATAAAGTGTCGGGACAAATTTTTTTTTTCCATTTTATAGTACATGACATAAGTTTTAATTTTGATATACGTTTAAAGGATGCAGTATTTTCGGAACATTTTTAAAAATTAAGTTGAAAATGTTAATTTTTGTAAAAAAGTTTGCTATTTTAAATCTCCCCCAATGAGCAGATTAAGTGTTAGATTTTCAAAAAAATGATATCAAATGAAAGGTAAATATTTAAGGTTTTAGTATAAAAAAAAATTATGTTGATTTGTTGATTTTTCAAAAAGTTATGGAAGTTTTAAGAAAAAAAAGTGAAAAAATTTCGAAAATTAGCGATTTTTAAATTTGTAATTTTTTTGGATATTTCCCCCATTTGCGGGGAACGAGGGAATTTTTTTCAATTTTTAAGGGTAATGTCTTCAACTAGATACGATTTGTGATCTTTTGACGTATTTTTGAAAGAAATCGGTCCAGTGAGAGCTGAGAAAAAGTGGCAACAGACATAAAAAAAAAATAAAAAAATAAAAATAAATAAATAAAAAAACACATCATAGTAAAATTAATACCTTCTCCGCTTCACATCGAAGCTAAAATTAGAAGTGATAGTAAAAGTCTAATTGCAGATTTGAAAACAACGCGAAAAGTTGATNAAAAAAAATAAAAAAAAAAAAAACACATAGTAAAATTAATACCTTCTCCGCTTCGCATCGAAGCTAAAAGATAGCAATGTTGAGTACATGAACAGGGTATTTTAAAGTTATCCCATATAAATAATAGTGACGATTATATTACGAAAAAACGGTTTTCATACTTTAAAGTGTCAATAGTTTAAAAAAAAAAATACAATTTCACTTAAAAATTGTAATTTTAAAATGAAAAAAAAAACAATTTTTTTCATATAAATAAAATTTTTTTTGTGTCTTTATTCAAACATTTTTGACCCAAATATAGATAAATAGAATAATAATAAATTCTAGGATGGTAAAAAAATGGTTTAATTATAATTAAACCATATTTTTTGTCAATTATTATTGACCATAGATTGTTTTAACGCGTAATTTTGAGAGTTACCGAATTTTGTGAAAAATTATCAAAGTTCCAAGCCTTGATCATAGGTTTAATTATCAATAATTGAATTTTACTTTTTATCTTAGGTGGAATTTTTCAATGAGCTGTAATGATAATTGTAATTGTGATCCTACCATTGATTATAATCCCATATGTTCATATGATAATACTACCTCATTTTATTCAGCATGTCATGCTGGTTGTTCACAATCTAGAATAGTCGACGGAATAAAAGTAAGAAAGAACTGTATAATGATATAAAATAGTCTTTATAATGATTAATTAATAAATGCTATTATTTCTAAATATACATATTTTTCAGTGGTACAGCAATTGCACATGTATAAGAGGCAAGGGAATGGCATACGAAGGACTTTGCCCAGCTAACTGCAATCAAAGCTTCATATTTTTTCTTATAATATTGGGTTTTATAAGATTTATTTCATCAACAGGTCGCTCAGGCAATTCTATTATTCAACTCAGGTTTAATATTTGCTACAAAATTAGTTTATTACTAATTTTCAAGTTTAATATAAACAGGATCAGATATAAAACAATTTTTCAGAAATTAATTTATTCAAACTATATAATAATCATTACTTTCAATATTTAAATCACTATCGAAAATTAAAAGGGTTCCAGAGTTTTAAGACCTTGTAATATTGACGATTGATTCCAAGTTTTTAAATTGAAATATTTCAAGGTTAATAATTTTTGTCAGTTGCAATATTTGTTAAACGAGCAACACGTATGTGTCCGCTTTAAGATGTCGAATTTGTTGAGCAAATATTGTGTACCAAAAAATGATTTCGCTTACTACAGAAAAGTGTTAAGTGTATCAACATAACAGTTAATTATCTGGTTGAAGTTACAACAAACATTAGGATTATTTATGAGAATAATATTTTCTCAATTTATAAATTTATTATCCATCTCATGGTGGCACACATTTCAATAAATTCAATGAATTTTTCAAAATATTGGACAACTCCTTTATTATTGGCGGTAATATAATGCCAAACACACACATTGGAAATCAATACTGATCACCCCTAAAGTTGAATTTATTTCTACTAAAAACTTACTGATCGAGTGACTTTAATAAAATTCCTGATCTTCTAGACTTCTTAGTAATTAAACTAATCTCTTCTAATTATTTTCAAGCTAAAGCGCTAATTAATTTATTGTTTGATCAAATTTTGTGTTGTTAACAATAAGTTTGAATGTCATAATAAAAAAACGGAAAGTTTTTCTTGAAAATAAACATATAAACTCGAATTTTTTAAAATGACTCTATAAAAACCATCACATTATGTATGCGGTTGAAAACAGCAACTAACCTAGAAACAGTATTACATAAACTAACTAAAAATGTTATTAAAGCAGCAAAAACAGCAGTACCAAAAACTTATGAAGACGAATATCATAAGATAACTTACCCAATGGAAATAAAAGAATTATTCGGAAAAAATTAGCACTCAATACGTCATTTAGTAGATAAAACTGATTAAAACTGTTTGAAATCAAAGAGATTAAAAATAAAACGTTTAAGTCATACTTAAGAGAATTATCTACAACGGATGATAGCGATTATTCTTCATGAAGAGCCGTAAGAAAATTAAAAAGATCTCGAGTTTATATTCCTCCGATTCGCAAAGAAGACAGTATTTGGGAGAGTTCAATATTGACAAAGCAGAAGTATATGCACTTTATTTATAACTTATTTTTCAACCAACCGATATTGGTACGTACAATATCAAATTAAATGAAATCAATGACAAAATACAGCACTCTTCACCACTGAATGTTGCTCAAGAAATCGATTTAAATATTAACATTAAAATAGCATTAAGTTATAATAAAATCGTACTCTAAATTAACTACCAAAAAAAAAACTATCGTTCATCTAATACATATTTACAACGCGTTGCAACGCTATAATACGCACACATTAATATGTGTATTCTAAAATATCACTCATTCTTTTTAAAGCCAAACTTTTAGAAAAGCTTCTTTTAAAGCATGTAAAACCTTTTATAGAAAAAAACAACTTATACCGGATCATAAGTTTGATTTTAGAAACAAACATTCTACTATGAATTAAATTCATCGTGTCATAAATGTAATAAATAACGCGATAGTAGAGAAAAAATATTGTCGCTGAGTAGATATAACCCTGGCTTTCAATAAAGTTTATCACAAAGGTTTGCTCATAAAATTACGTGAACAAATACTAAATTCATGTACACTTATTGAGTCTTACTTGACTAATAGACAATTCTGTGTTATGCATGAGAAGCTTTAACCGACTGGAAAAACATATGAGCTATAGTTACCCAAGGTAATGTTTTGAGCCCTATCCTGTATCTACTCTACACAGCCAAATAACACTAATTCAATGACCGTTATATTTGCAGATGATATTGCAATACTTATTACTTATAAAGATCAATGGATAACTACTGGTAAATTCAAATAACTATCAATAAAATTTTTAAATGGGTGAAACGTTAGAAAATAGAGATAAATAGTGAACAATTTTCACATTAATTTTACGTTACGAAAAACCTTTCTCATTCCAACATTACTGAATCGACAGATAATCCTACAAATATATTTAGCAAAATATCTTGGAATGCACCTTGGCTGCCATCTTAACTGAAAACACCATATATGCCAGAAAAGTATACAAATAAAAGAATAACTTCAGAAACTCTATTGGTGAACATGTATAACAATATTGGAAATCCACGTAAACTTAGAAGCAATTCAACTATTGTACAATTCCAATGACTTGAGATTATTTAAACCCCTCAGCCATATCACTTTGTTTTAATTTATACATATTTATGTATACACATTTTAATTATTTATTTTATTATTAGTTTAAATTAGGGATCACTTCATTAGTTGCCTTCTTTAATTTTGCTTTTTAAAGATAAATTATAGTAGAATCCTACAGAGGAGCCTATCAATTTTTTAATTGATCCTGAATCCACCAATTGGTAAAACATGGTCTGATGTATTATATTTTTGATAATCACTATATATAACATAAGAATAAGAGTAAATTATATGTATTAAAAAAAAAACATAAAAATATAATACATTTTAGATTTTAATACCAATAATATTTTTTTAGAAGCGTCGATGAACAAGACAAATCTCTCGCTTTAGGTTTTACTGAAATGTTAGTAACCTTCGTGGGTTTTTTACCAGGTCCAATACTTTATGGAACAATTTTAGGTAAATTATAAACTAATAAGTTCTATAATTTTTATATATTAATCATATAAGTTATAACCAAACGATTTAATTATCAGAGATTTTGAGACAAGATTTTTTATCTTACTAAATTATAAATTAAAATAAATAATGAGATTTTTTGTTGATAGATACAACATGTCTTATTTGGAGTTATAATTGTGGGAAAAGAGGAAATTGTTGGCTCTATGATAGAAAACTTATGAAATACTATTTAAACTCGATAAGTAGTGGTAAGTTAGGTTACTACAAATAGTAAAAGGTCATTTTCACTGAAATTTACAATTGTTAGGTTTTCTTGTAATTGGAACTCTTTTTGATGTTGGAGTATGGTACTACGTAAAAGACTTAAAAATTTATGATGAAGATAATGATTTGAAGCCTAACGAAATTTGTAATAGTTCTAGTATGGAAGCAATTGGTAGCTTAGACAATTTAGAAATGAAAACATTGAAATAAACTAATCACTAATTGTACGAAAAAAAAAGAGTAATATGTTTATGTATAATATAGTCTACATTTTTAGCTTCAATGCAAAGCTTAGAAAATATTGTTTTTCTTATAATGTGTTTTTTGTGTTAACAATTATATGCCAAAAAATCCGAATTAGCTCTAATTGAAGACATTTCCTGCAAAAATTAAAAAAAATTTCTTAATTTGGTTACGACAATTTCACAAAAATGTGTTGAAATCACATAATGATAAAAAAGGTATTGCTTCAGGGCGCCCAACGTCGCATTAAAACTTACTCTGTCGTGTTGTGACTCAGCCCGAAATTAATCAAGAGCTGAGTCACAACACGGCATGGCCTCCCCCATTATCAAATACCTGAGTGGGATCCGTTGCCCAAGCCGCACCACGTAGAGGGGGGGGGGTAAGACTTTGCTATGGTTGGGACAAGAAAAAAAACACACAAACGGAGGAGGGCGACGTGTAGAGTGCACTACTGGACGCCCTCCGCCGTCCAGAGGACAAGATGCTGCCGGAAATCGGGCACGTGTGAACTCCGGCGGCAAAGGGCGGTACGCCCGGGTGGAGGTGCCGGCAAGGCTGGCCCTCCATCTTCCAGGTCTCACCCGTATCCGTGTGGAATGGGTCACCTAGGGATCCTTGGAGACAAGGGTCCGAGGTGCCCGTTGCTCTGCGCTACAGTGTCGATGTGATCGGGCTCTACGGGGCTACGAAACGTCGTCACGAGCGCAGCCTCTCTAGTTCGGGGAATCGAGCGTGTCCTCAGGTTGCGGATAGAGGAACGGCCGACAGATATGCAGGTTAGCCGTGAAATAAGCAGTCAATTAATTTGGGCTGACGAATAAGTGGTCGCGGACAGCGAGCCGCCCAAACGCTTGTTACCCTGTAGATATACAGAGAAGCCGTGAATAAGCCTTTATGGACGAATAAGCGGTAGCGTTTGGATGAGAACGGAGATAAATGGCAACGGAACCAGTGAAGTTAGATGCTCACTGGCCGGAGGGACTGGCTAAGAGGGCAACCCCCTCACAAAATCATTTACCAAATGACAATGGCATCGGACGGGGTAAAGGTTACTGCATCAGGGGATTCGGATGCCCCAGTGCCGGCGGTTGGTGGGGGACGAATACTCAAGAGTATCCGCCCAAACCGGGGACCCGTACAAGAGGACCGAATGTACGACGACGCTGACTAAAAGTCTGCGCCGCATCTACCTCGGCCTTCCCAGATTGGGCATGAGTCTGCAGGGTTAACGAGCGAACGAGGAGCTCGCTGACCGCGACCGCTTATATTCGTCAGTCAAAATGAATGCACCGCTTATTTCGCGGCTAACCTGTATATCTGCAGGCCGTTCCTCCATCCGTAACCTGAGGACGCACCTGATTCCCCAAACTAGGGAAGCTGCGCTCGTAAAGACGTTTCGTAGCCACGTAGAGCCCGATCCAACCGATACAGTAGCGCAGTGCAACGGGAAAGTTGACCCCCTTTAAAATTAAAAAATATAAAATTTCATATCAATCTTGGGGTCAGTGACTTCATAAACCAATAATTAAATATTAGTCATTAAATAACATCTAAGGTAATGTAACATTAATCTTAATCTTTTTTTTTATTATGCTGACCCACTGAGCACCTCTGATTTATTTTCATTAATTTTTTTCTGCATTTAATTATATTGATTATCTATTGGAACTCTATTAATAAATATATTTCTAAATATTGCTAACTTAATTGAATTAAAAAAAATTTAACTGACAAGTTTTAAGTTTATGAGGGTAATATAACTTCAATAAAAAAAAAATATTTTTTGTATTTAATTTAGACATTTTTTTTCTATGACAATCTTATTGCACACATTAGTATAGATTTTAGATATTTCTATTGTATACAAATATATATATATATATATATATATTATATCAATTTAAAAAAATATTACTTTACGATTGTTAACAAGATAATAATTATCTTATAATTATTATATAAAATTTTTAATGTTTTATTTTTATTTTCAAGAAAATATTTCTGGTTTAACCTTTAAAAAATATTTTTTTAGTATTATAATTTTCATGAGATTTTTAATTTACACTTAAGTATCTTATTATATAATAGAACATTGAAAAATTAGTCATTGCTGAAAAAATTACTAAGTCCACATGCATAGTTAATAGTAGGATATATTGGTTTACGCATGTCAATTTTTTTTAAATATTATATTAGTTTTCACTAATAATACGGCATTTTAAGTGTTTTTAAAGATTATTAGGTTTCTTTACGCCAACCTATTGTACTAATAATAATTAGTGGATTATTATTAAGTATAATTATGAATCCACCTAAGTATTTTTTAGCTATATTATTTTCTTAATTATTATTTAATTCACAAATGTGTACTATTTATGTTAAATTGCTTTTGGAATAATATTTTCCTGCACAACACTTATTATGCCCATCGTAGCCGGTTACTTATACCGAATCAATAGCCCTACTTGTTAAAGTCTTAAACACCGTAGACGCTAGAAGCCTGCAGGGCCCCCGGATCTGGAATTGAGCCCCCGCTAAACGAAACCAAGTAAATATATAAATAGATAATATTAAATTTTATTTTTTGTTTTAATTTAATACGATTAAATCTTTATTATAAGTTATATATATATGATTATATGCTGATGTCTCTTTATGTTTAACTACCGTCCTCATTGTTATTAGTTAAATTTACTTTATTCTGTACTTTAGACCTTAACCCATTTTAACTATTCAATATTTAATTAATTCAATAAATTATTACTATTATTATTATATTACTCATAAGTACTTTTTCCTCAAGAGAAAGGAGCTAACTTAGTAGTCAATAAGTGAAACAGATGTCATTGTGATTTTATGGAGTGTTATTTTCACTTGACAATCATAAACAGATAAAATGTTAGGAAATACTTAACAAAATGTATAACTATGCATATAAGTTATTCTGAACTAAACATTACTGGAGTTACCTAGAATTGAAAAAGTAATCGCCCATTGAAATACTTAATTAGCATTGTACCATCCATAAACTATTGTAAGAATAAACCAATAAAATCAAGTTTATTTTCAACAATGTTTAATAAACTTATTAATAAATAAATATTAATTAAACATAAGTTTTTTCACCATCATGTATATAATGTAAAATATACATCATAACAAAACTATTAATTTATTACAAACTATTTATAATAAATAACACATATAAATCTAAAAACATCAATAACTTTAATGAGAGATTTAAAAATATTTTTCAACTAGGATTGCTGTAGTGTAAATACAGAACTAGGTAAAACAATTTTAGACAATATTTATTATGTTGTTTTTTTAATTATGGTTTATTATTGTTAGATATAAATAATACATTATTAACAACAAACCATAAAATGGACCTAAATAGTATCATTTAACATAAGTAGGTATCCTAAAATTTGAAACTGTTAAAACATATACGGTACAGAATAATACATGAATATTGGAATGAAAAGCCAAGTTTTGAAAATATTGCTGCACTTTCCAGGAATGTTTATGCTACAACAGTGTCCATTGAAATTACATTTAAACTGCACATAGTTCAATTTCATTGAAGAGAAATTTTTACATTAAACGTTTAAGTTCGTCGTAGAATACCAATACTAAGGCTCCACCAGTACCTCTCAATACGTTAGAGAAAGCTCCCTTGAAGAAAGCAGAAGTACCTTCATTTTTGTAAAGTTTTGACCAGCAATCAACAGTACTTTTATACATTCTATCTGAAGCAGCACGTCCAGATTGCATCATCATACGACGTCTTACAGTGTCGAATGGATAAGACATGATACCAGCAAAAGTGGTGACAAATTGGGCAATACCCCATGAAACTAAGAATGGTGTATTCTTGGGATCAGGTAACATTCCCTTTGCAGTGTCGAAGAATCCAAAGTAAGCAGCACGGTAGATAATGATTCCTTGGACAGACACAACAAAACCACGGTATAAACCAATTGGTCCGTCAGACTTCACTGTCTTCATTATACAATCTCCTAAACCTTTGAATTGTCTCTCAGCTGGACCTTTACCAACATCAGCTCCTAACCTAGAATATTAAAATCAGACATTAAAAATTTTTCTTTTATATTTTATAATAAAAAGCAAAATGTTGAATTACTTTATTTTTATTTGTAATTGTAAAAGGTTAATTTAAGAATTCATCATTTGTAGAAATTAAAACTTATAAAAGATAATCACATAAATTGATCTCTAATTATGATTAGGGTTGGGTTTTTGATTAGTCAAAATCTTTAGGGGTCAATTAAGTACATTATAATATATTAAAAATTATTATTTCATTTGGAAAGAAGAATAAATTCCAACCATCCACCATAAAAATTATAAGGAAATAATTTTTTAGACATTTTATAATATTACAAAAAAACTTAAATATTACATAATTTTATTATTGATATTCAAAAAATAGACAATCCATAGATATTGAGTGAGTGAAAGCTATGATGGCTTAGGTCTCCAAATTTAGAAAAATTATTTTTTAAAGGGGAAATAATTTAATTTAGTCTCCCACCTAAATTGACTACCCTACGCCTATTCCAATACCTTCTTGCAGTGTTCAATTCATGTGTTCTTATTATTTTAAATTTTTCAATAAATTTTTTTTTTATTTCTATACAATACTACTACATAATTTACTAACTACAATTATTGAAGACTAATTTGTTAAAAAATAAAACCGAAGTTACATAGTTAAGTTAAAATGTTAGATTAACTTATATTTAACATTTTAACACAGTATTTTAAAACAAAAACTTACATAAAATAACAACTTAATGTACAAAAAGATATTTTATACAATAACATTTAAAATTTAAATACAAATATTTTATTTTGTCTAGTCTATGACCAGTCAAAATCTCTTGGGTCAATTGACTTTGTGCTAACCCTAGTTTTAATAAACAATGTAAATTTAACATTTTCGTATCTTACCTAGTACGGGCATAATCAAGTGGATATACAAAACACAAGGAGGTGGCACCAGCAGCACCACCAGATGCAAGATTACCAGCAAAATACCGCCAAAATTGAGTTTTTTTGTCAACACCATCCATAAATAATTGTTTGTAAACATCTTTAAAAGCAAAATTTAATGCTTGTGTTGGAAAATATCTGATGACATTAGCTAAATTTCCTCTCCAAAAACTGAAAAAACCTTGTTCTTTAGGAATTCTTATTAAGCAATCCACAATCCCTAAAGAAATAAAATAAAAATAAATATTAACAAATAAAATAAAAAATAAACGATAAAAAACTGAAAAAATAGTTTATAATTAATTTAGAATAAACATAAAAGTAAATATAAAAGAAATATAATACATAAATGAATTATATATAAAAGAAAAATTTAAAAAAAAATACTATATATAGTTAAAATTCAAAATAGTTTTTAAATTAACAACTAGATATTTTAACAAACCTATATACTAAAATGTCTAAGACCATTAGATCTTAGACATTCAAAATAATACAAATGTTAAAAATGAGTGTTAGATTCTTTTAATATATATTTTTTCAATAGGATATACTCTATTAATAATTTATAGTTAATAACTATAAATTAGATATAATATATTACTGATAAATGTTTTCATAATTACTACAATACACACAATATACTAAATGTTCAATATTCTTTGAAAATCAAGCTATATTTTAGATAATACATATCCTAGTTATATGTTAGACTAGGTCAGATTCTTTAGTTTATTAATTTCTCATGTTTTTTATGAAGTAATCAGTTGTTAATAAAATATTGTGAAGAATGTTAATTATTTAAAATGAAAATTTAAATGATAAAAAAAATTATCTAGGAAAATAAAAAAAATCAATGAAATTGAACATAGAAGTACAGATAAATATTTCACATATAACAGATAATAATTTATCACTTAACATTCTATTAAGTAACAAATAAACATCTAAAGAATTTATTATAACTAGTTTAGATAAAATTTATTCATCCTGATACATTGGTTCAAGTATGAAGATTATAGAGAACAGATTTATAAATTTTATTAGGCTAATCCAAACAAATTTGTATTAATAGACTTATAAACTTAATTATGTTATCTAACTAGGGTTATACAGTTGGAGGAGATTTAAAGGGGTATACAGTAGCATAATTACATAGTGGCAACTAGGGCAAATAACTTAGAGCATTGCTGAAGCTTTTGGAGGCATTATAGACGATGAAACAAAAAAAAACTGGATTAAAAATGTTCCTGTGTTTAAATGTAGGTTTTTGAAGCTAAACATTTTTTTTTCTCATCAGAACAAACTAAAATGAGGGCTGCTGAAATCCTTAATATATAACCAAGGGTATATTCTACACTAAAACGAAAATTAAGTTTTTAAAAGTAAAATAATGAATTTAAATGTATTAATAATTATTCAATTAGAACTCTAGATGATGGTTTCCTTTTAATATGTTCAATTTATTAATGTCTCATTATATGTTTTATTTAAGTTTTAAAAAATCTAGAGTTTGACTTTCTATAAAATTAAACTTATAATAGTTGTGACTATATAAATATAAAAACCAATTCAATGATTATTAGATAAACAATGATTACACAAAATAAAACTAAAGAATTTCAACTCTTGACATAAATAATAAATGATAAATTAAAAACTTCTAAATGTAATTTGAAATGAAGTTCAATGGATTATCAATAACCTGAACATGTGATTATTATATTACATTCTTGAACTACTTAGATAACAAATGAGTAGACAATTGGAATGGGCGTTAAAAAATTTGTCTTACTAGGCAATATTTTAAATAGTATAAAAATAACTAATTAAATAACCTAATTGTTAATATGATTTCCGATTATTTTCACAACCTTAACTTAAACATGATAAACTACAGAAAATTTGTAAAAACCTCGTGATTGACAATTTTAAAAATAACTTAAGGTTGTAAATTGGCATATTTTAGCGAGTTCATACAATTTTATATTATTATCCCCACCGGAAAACAACGGACACCACAGTAAGGTTAAAATTTTACTAATACATTTTGCGAATATCTACAATTAATAAAAACTATAATTGTACAGAAATTGTGGTGAAATGAAAATAATTTCATCAGAATAATAATAAAAAAAAAAAGGAATCACGGAATATGGACAAAGTTATACTAGACAAATTTTAAATAGGACATGTCTGGGATTGTGCACATCAGAGGCTACATTCAGGCACCTAGTATTAAAGCCCCGCCTACATTATTCTAACCTAATTTCGTTGAATCGATTAAATACCGGATTACAAAAGCTTGTCTTAAAAATTAGTTAAATCATTTAAAAAAAAACTAATGACTATTGTAGTAATAATAACTCAAATAACCATACCTTTGTATTGTTTGTCGGCAGCAATTTGCTGGGAAGCGGCTTGTACTTGGAGGATAAGTTTGACACGTTCAATAGGTGCGACAGCAGTTTTGGACACAGCGGCAGATATACCACCAGCCAAAAAATCTTTGGCAAATCCGTATGGGTCTTTTGGTGCTTTAGTTCCTTCAGCCATTTTAGTAAAGATCAAAAATATATACTGGGTTAAAAATGAAGTTAATTAACTGATCTAACTGAGCGGCGCACGAAGGCGTGTCACGAGCAGTGTGATGCAAAAGAAAGAACTTGACCGATCGTATTAGGAATGGCCGACCAAACTTAGTCGACATCTGACGTCATCAGTAAAAACAGCTGTTTAACGTGTTGGCATCAATTTTTTAAATTTTTTATTTTTTCATAATTAATATCTTTTTAAAATAAAATTAAAAAATATTAAAATAATTTAATGTTATTCTAAAAACATGTAAAATAATTAAGGCTTAATTTAAGTTCGAATATGATTATTATATAATACCAATTTTTTAAGGTTAGGGTCAAATATTCTTTTTTTTTTATTACCGGGTACTTTTGAAGGTTAACATTTTAAAACATTAATAAATGATCATCATAAATGTAGATAGTAACTTAATCTTGTTTTTTTTATATAAAAATATTTTGTTGTCTTACTATTGCATCTGATGTGTAATCTGAGGGTCTAGAAGGAGTTTAACTCTCCAAAATCTGTCATAGAAGCAAGGAAAAATTAGATCAGCCCTCCCAAACATTTTACTTTTCTTTAAATAAGCACGTATTACATTAAGAAAATGCATTGATAAATCTTGTATTAAATGAAGGACATTTTGACAGAGAGACCTGACATAAAATGACATCCACTAAAAAGACGAACGTAAAGAGTACGGTCAAATCAATATACGTCAACTCCCGTAAAAGTGACAGAGTTTATTAATGAATAAAAATCTGTGAATCATTTCAGGTAATTATCTAAAATCTAAACTATCACAAAGATGAGGTTATAATATAATTGACAATAATATTAACAGCTATTTTATTCACGACTTTATTTATTATACTCTTATGAAAAATTAAAAAAATATATTGTAAGTGTTTAGAAAATAGTATTTTACACAGAGATTGGTTTGCGGAGGAGTCCAGAGGTGGTACTGGATACTCCTCAGACACTGATATTTTTATATTACTCAGTATATGAATTAAACCCTGTTACGAACCCAAGTAAATTTTATTCTTTAAAATCCCTCCAAAAAATGTTAAAAATCCGTTACTATTAATAGATTAATTTTTATAAAAAATTAGTTCATTGTTTTTACAAAAACATATATTAAACATGGTTTAGTTTGTAATATATAAAATGTCTATGTTTTTAATTGTAGAATTAAAACTGCTTTAAACGTCTTTTAAAAACAAGTTGTTTTATACAAAACAAACATATACTAAGTAAGTTATATTGAAACCGTTTTTAAATAAAAAGAAAAATAGATCAAGTCTAAGGCTTCTATCTAAATGATTTTTTTTTTTTAAATTATTTTGTAAAAGACTTTTTCCACATTTTGATTTAAAATCGAAAGATTAATTTTCAAAATAACAATTATTGAGATAAGCTATGTTTTGATACTTAACTAGAAAATACTTCAAACAATAATAAAATAGAGAAAAAAATCTTATGAAAATAATGCTATAAAGATTGTTATTCCAGTAAACTAACAAATAAAATATTGGCAATAATAAATAAAACACCAAATAATGTAAATCGATAATATAATCCATCTGAACAGTCTTCACACTACAAATCAGACATAATATAGTGTTTTACAAAAGATTTAAGTGTTTCAATTAATATCAGCAAGGCTTTAAGTAATAATAAACATTTACATAATTTTAAAATACAAAGTAACTCTATTAAGAGTTAATAACACTGGATTAAATTTAATATTATATACAGAATGAACTTTAAATTTTTTCAGAAACAATTGGAATTTTTTTAAAAACATTTTTTTTGATTTAATGAAATAAAAGAAAAAAGTGATAGTTTCTATAACAATATTTTTTATATAAAATTAATTTAATTATTTACCTCTAAAAAATATGTTATAAAAACAAATCATAAAATATATTAGCTATTCCACAAAAAATGTAGAGAAAATCAACCTATATAATAGATTGTTTCTTCTAAAGTTAAATTAGGAAACAAATGATTAAAAAAAAAAATTTTAACAAACAGATAAAATGCCATAACTATTCGTCACAAAATATAGTCATTTATAATATATACTCTATATCAAATATTTAGATGTCTGCATTTAAAATTATTAATTAATTTAATAATATGGCTCATGGATTTGTAAAACACCTTATTGTTCAGTTGTTAAAAGCCTGACAGTGGATGATTAGTCTTCATGAGGTAAAGAAAGACTTATTTTGCATAACCAAATTCTTTAGCATCATCCTCTGAGATGTCACCATACTCCCACATATGTAACCGATCTTTCTTAGCTTTGTCTTGAGCTTCAATATATTCGGTTAACTAAAATTAAAAATTAATTTTTTTAATTTTTTATCAATGAAACATAAGAAATTAAATAAATACCAATTTTTGCAAATATCTTTCACGACGTCTATCAACTAATAAAAATCCTTCTTCAACTAATTTTTTTACTGGATCTTCTTTTTTGTCAGCATCCAAAACAGTAACATGTGTTAAGCCATCATAAGTATATTCTTCATTGATATTGATAGTTTTATTGATAAACTCTTCTTTTACTACCAATATAGAATCTTCCTGGTATTCAGGTAGTTTTGGTAGTTTAACAAGTGCAAATCCAAATTCTTTGGCATAGGCACGATCATTTTTCAACATTTGGGGCAATAAAGCACATTCATTTGCTGTTATTACATCTCTATTACCATAATCAATATAAAGAACATGAATGTTGGGTCCACTAACTTTTTCAACTTTTGCACGATACCATTGTTGGTCTTCTTTAAATTTAGCCGCAATAATATCTCCTAAAATTCAAAAACAAATATTTACTAAAGGATGGAATTAAAAAAAAATTTATTTTATTTAAACTGCACAATTTATCTGATATATTACAAAATATCATTTATTATTATGAAATATTTAATAAAAATATTAATTTATAATGAAATTTTAAGATTGAATAAATTAATATTAAAATTATTTTTGAGTTGTAAAATCGCATTTTACTGCAAAAATTGAAAACTTTTACTATGATTTTAAATTACAAAAATTCAAATATTGCTAATTCTTATAATATATTATGTATACAGGTAAAACAGATCTAACAATTCATATAACTAATGATCTATATAGCATTTTACACTTTTTTTAAACCAATTTTTAGAATATAGGTCTATATTCAACATATGTTTTATGTTATTTTTTGTAATTACATAAAATATTTAAAAAATTAATTTTTTTATTAAAATTCTTTTTTAAAATTTGAAGAGAGACATGTTATTATTTTGATATTATTGAAAAATCTTAGGTATACCACTGATCTTAACTATTAATTTTAAACTTAATATCCTTAAGGTAAAGGACACCACGACTATATAGGAATTGAGCACCAAAATTTGGTCTTCCAAAAAATAAAACTTGTGACAGGAATTCCTCTGTCTTTGAGGTAAAGAATTAAGGATAGTCTATGAAAAAAAAAGTATACCTCTTTTAGGTACAAGTCCAGTAGCTGGAGGGTTTGAATCAAACTGTTTCCTCATGTTATCCATAAGATTTTCCAACTTGGGACCTTCTGAAACTGGTTGCACAAAAACATGCAACTCGGGACTTATTTCAGAAACGAGTACCTCACTATAGTTAGTTTTACGTTCTTTAACAGTATCTTCTTTTTCAGGTTTGCTTGTATTGTTATTTGATTCTTCAGGTTCTTCGACATAATTTTTCCACAACTATACAGAAATTATAATTTAAAAATTATTACTAATATAAACAATTTAAATTACATTAAATTAAATAATTACATTAAGTTTTTTATCCTTAGCTTCTTTTTCAGCTTGTTGAAGCTGTTTGAAGTATTCGGAACGCTCAGCAGACCTATGTACCTTAGCAAGACCTTCCTTAACAAGAGCCAAGGACAAATTGGTATTACCAATAAATAACCAACCAATCATACTACCCCCTTTGTTACAAGATTCAACTGTAATTTCTACTTCACGGTGCATAATTTTTTCCTTAGTAAAAGCTAATGCTTCTTGGTGATATTCCTCAGCTGCTGATGGTTGATCACCTTGGTTAGGTCTCTCACCACTAGGACATGTAATACCTAATTGAAAAAATAAAAAAAAATTACAGCACAACAAAATTAAAGAAGCAAATAACATAAAATTGTTTTTAATAGTTAATACTATCTAAAATAACTAAGTTATTTTCAAAAAGTGAACGTTTTCAAAATTAAATTTTACATTGGAGGTGGTAACATGAATTTTTTTTTTAAACCATTATACAAAAAAAATTAATTTTTTGTGTTGTTGCAGTTTTGAGCTGGGTTATCAATATTTCTTTTGTGTAAAATTAATCATGGGTTTTCTTATTGCTTAAAAGGCGAATAAAAATCTTAAAACTACTAAATTTAATAATATATCTCAAAATTTTCAGTCGCTCTTTTAATAGTTTAGGCATCTAATTTTTTTTTTTGAAATTTTGAAACCAAAATGTATTTTTTTATTTTAAAGTAGTATACTGTATACACCTTTTATATAGCATTAAAATATATTAATTTTTATTTTGCAAGTTAATTTTAATTTCAATACAAACCTGCTAAAAGGAAGGTAATCAAGGAATATTCTCTTCGAACATAAAGACGCATTCGTGATCCACTAGCTACATACTCAACAAGAGCTTCAAACCTTGGGAATCGTTGTAAACTAGGCAACAAAGCCTTAGCACGAGCTGAGTCCTAGATACAAATTCAAAGAATAATCTAACTATTGCAATATATTGTTTATTCATCTTAAGTAAACTTACTCCTGCACTTGAACAATCAGTAATTCGTTGTTTGGGTGGAGGTGATTTTGAGTATAAACCTTTGTGAGATTGTTTAGCTATTTCTTCAGCTTTCTTCAGGTCATCAAAACATTGAGACATCTGATCATCTCTGGGATTGTTCATTACAGTTGCCAGACCTTCTTTAACTAATTCTACAGCGAGGTTTCTGGTGAATTAATAAATTTATTATTAAAATATTGAATACCTTATTTTTATAAAGTATAAAAATAAGTTCATAATTAATAATAATTGAAAATTATTAATTTTTTTCATCTTTAACAAAACACTGTATCAATAAGAAAACATAAAATAATATTAACATAATATGATCTTACATTCCATTGACTGTCACTGTAGCACATATTTTCTCTTCAAATTTATCAGACTTTGGTTGTATATAATCAACAGAAACATTTACTTTTTTTCCAATACAACGTGTTCTTAGGAACTCACGGGCTTCGTATGCCCATGGAATTTCATAGAAATGTTTAGCCAATGTTCGTGGAGCACGAGGAGGAGCATCTTCCCCAGTTTGTTCACTAAATGAATATTTTTATATTTATGATACATTAATCAAACAAACTATATTTAATAATTATTAATTTATTGTTGCAAAAATTATATTACCCTCTAGGTACTTCAATTCCAAGTCTTGCTGGTTTAATATTTGACAAGAAAATTTTCTTAGGTTTATCATGGTTTGAAGTTTTAACAAGTAAAGCTTCTTCACGAACAATTTCAATAACAGTTCCAATAATTTCTTTTTCAGGAATCTAATAAAATAGAAGTAAATAATTATATATTTTGTATAAAAATTAAAAAAAAAATCTTTTACTTCTGGTCCAGTATGTTGATAATTTTGCCATTTCCTTAGTTTCTTTTCTTTAGCCTGTCTCTCAGCTGCTCTTAACTTATCAGCACTACCTTCTAAATATTTCATACTACGATTTTGGCATGTAGCAAATCCTTGTTTAACCAATTCAACAGCAATTTCACCAGCCTTATAGAATAAAATACAATAAAATAAAATAATAAGGTAAAACTAATATTTAATTATGATAATTACTGGATGGTAAATAGTGCCAAAGAATGATGGTGTTTTGTTGTTAGATAAAACTCCTTCTAGTGTAATTTCAACATCTTTTTGCAACAAACGAATTTCAACAAAAAATTTTGCTTCATCTCCAAATTCTTCATTTTCAGAAGGACACTGATAAAAAAATAAATAAATGAAAAATCTACAACAAAATCCACTTTGAAATTGAAAACTTTTGCTTGTTTGGGTATTATTGATGTTAGTTTTTAAATTAAGTGTTATCAATAATAAATATTATATTAATGTAAAGAGAACAATACAAAATAATTATTCAGAGTTTCAAAGTTTTAAATTACAATACTTTTTGAGTAATTTTATTAATGATATTTGTATTTTTCAATAAAATTATTTTAACATTTACAATACTAACCTTAATTCCTGAAAGGTATAAAGTGATCATTTGTCCTTCAGGCAGTAGCATCAGTTTAATGGTAGATCCATCAATAACAGATTCCACAATAGCCTTAATGCGCTTTTTGGCATTTTTCTTCAAAAATACTTCTACATCTTCAATAACTCCACTTTTCTTTAAAGCATTCTGCATATATATAGAATAATTTAATGAATAAATATGAGTATAATTTATTTTAATTAACCATTAGTCACACTCCTTATTACTAAATTTAATAATGTACTAATGGAAGAGGTTAATAGGTTTTAGTGTCATTTCAAAACTTTTATAGAAACATAATAAATTTATATTTAACCTATTAAAATTAATGAAAAAAAAAAAATTACAACCATAACAAATTACAAAATTTTTAAATTGAGATGTAATATTAGCAAAAAGGGTAAAATGATCCAATTATAAAATTAAAACTGATATATTAGAACATTAAATTTTAAATATATTTTTTAAGTTTAGTGGACAAATTTAATTTTTAACTGTAGATTATAAAAAACTTAGAAAAATGAATACCTTTGTACTACCATCCCATTTACCCAATTTAGCAGCTTTTGCTTTGTTTTGCAAATCAATTAATGTTTGAAGGTCTGCAGCTGGATTGTTAGATTTTACAGTTTTTACTGTGACCAAACCATTTTCTACAAGCTCATTTACGATATTGTTTTCTGTATTTAATAAATAAATTGTACTGTTAAACTTTGTTTTTAAACTTAACTCCAATAAAATAATATTTCACCTAATGTTGGATAATAAATATCACCATAATAACGAGGTTTTCCACTTCCTGGTACTTGACCAGCAGTTTTGAAAAACACCTTTTTTCCAACAAGTTTTTTCCTGAGAAATTCTCGAGCTTCAAAAGCAAAAGGTTCATCATCAGTTCCCTTAGCTGAAGGATCATTATTCGCTCTTCATAAAAAAAAAAAAATTTAATACATTAATGAGTCAGAAATTTTAATAACATAAAATCAATCAAAATTTAAAAACTTACGGACGACGACCAAATTTAAGAGCAATTATGTTGTTAATAGTAATTTGCTTCTCTTTTGGATACCCAGTGTAGACTTCCTCGCGAATAACAATGGAATCTCCAGAATTAACCTAGAGTAAAATTTTCATGCGTTAAGTTTTTAAAAGAAAAACATTTATTCAACATTCATATATAGTATTTTTTAATAATACTATAAAAATAGTATTATTAAAAATAATAGTATTATATCAAAAATAAGAAAAATTTAAACTACATATAAACAGATTGGAGCAGAGATCTCCTAAATTAAAAAAATTTAATAGTACATTTTTCATAACTATAAGCTGTACCATTGGATAACTATTTACCTTTATACTTATCATATTCATTAAACTCTTAGCTCATATACTTATTTTTCTAATTTTTAACATATTGTATATTACTAAATAATAATAATATTAACACAATGACACAATAGAGAACAAAAATACAAATGTGTTACTTGCTAGTGTTTGTTGATACATTATTTAAGCAATATTTATAAACAGTTATAGTTAATATTTCAAGTTAAATCTAAACATATTTTATGTTGTGGATAATAGTTATTCAGTAATATCAATTTTATACTTTATTAAATATACATTTCAGTAATCTGTAAGATATTAGATAACTTCACTAAGACTAATTTTAACATTAATAGCTAATACAATGCATTAATTTTTGTAATAAAAATATATTTTTTAGAAAAAGCTTTAAGATAAAATATAGTATAATTAGCTGATATACTTGTTACATAAAATTGTCAGTATCACTATAACTGCTTTAATAACTTTATAAATACATAAAATAAAATTTAATGTTTAATAGTAAGGTTTGTTGAATTGGTTTAAAATTAAAACTGTTAATTTGTTAAAAATGTTAAACTATTAATTTAAAACTAAAAAATATTTAATTCAAATAATCATGAAAAAAACAACTAAAAAATCCCGAATACACAATTCGTTAACAATGTTACCATTAACAACGTTAAACACAGACTTTGGTTAAGTAAATGACAATGAATACACATATTAAAGTATGTATATAGATCTGTTTTAAATAACTCTTTTTCATTATAGAATAACTTAAAGTTAATAACGTAAATGGAAAAAACACACTATAATGTATAATATATGAAAAAATATATTTGATATAATAAATAGTTGGAGAAAAGATAAAATTTGAATTTAACAATTCAGAATAAATCTTAGGTAGATATAAGGTGTTAATGTACCTGTTTGACGACTCCCTCGAAAACCTTTACGGGCTCCTTAGCAGGGGATACAGCTCCTGGCGGTTGATTTGTCATTTTGTCTATTTAAACGCACGTTATTTGGGTACGGAGATCAAAAAACAGCAGCCAGGGTTACGTTAAGGTTTTTAAACGAGTTGTCACGTGATTGTACTAGGCTATGCGTATTGTACTAGCAGTGTCGGCAGGAGAACACGTTTACGGTATTCATATTGTCGGGTTGAGGTTAAACTAAGAACAAAAATTGAATATTAAATACGTTTTTCAACAGGAAAACGTGAAAAACAGCGATTTAACTGCAATGTACACGATGTGTCCAAATGGCACGGTTAAAGGAAAAAGGGCCAAATCAGCACATTCGGCGGCGCACTCCACACACGCTTCGTAGATTCGCGGAGGAAAGAGTAAGTTAGAAAAAGATAGCATGACCGGGCAAGAAGAAGTAAGTGATGGATGGACGGGAAGGGGAACAGGACAGCTGATGGCGCAAAGGGCGGGGGAAAGGTGAAAAGACAGAGACAGAACGTGGTTCTAGTTTATGAACTTTCACGACAGAGGGGAGAAAAGTTGGTCGCACCACGGTGGAACATGCAAGGTGACCGTAGATACCAAACGTCGTTACGTGATACATCAATGCCATGGAATAAACGGCTAAGACCGCGTCATATTGCACTGCGTGTCTTCGGCATATGTTGTAAAAGTTATTATCTCATTACCTTTGATCAAAATTATAACAATTAAATATTATATTACTAGATTTCTACCTAATTCAAGTCTAATATCATTACAGAGCTTATTTTAATTAAATCTTTAAAATAATGAATACATATTATTTTAAGGTTACTTCATGGATAAATGGCGCATTTTCTTCGAACAAAGTTTCCAAACAGTGTCGGTAACAAAATTTACTGCTGACAATCATTTTAAACATATACCCGCGAAAATTATCCATTTTCTTATAGAAACTGTATCCTATACACTATTTTATCAACAATAATACGTATCTTAAACTAAATTCCAGATTTTGATAAATGCTTTTCTTAGTAATTGAAGTATGATTAAAATATTAAGTCAAGTATATATTGATTTATCTCTAAATCTCTAACCGCATAAAACGTATCATAGGATTCGTCGTATAGAGGTCATCACTATTAAAGAGTTAAAAATAAAAAAAAATCTCTAAATATTAGCAAATAAATAGTCTGTTTGAAATAACAATGTCTATAATTAATATTTTTTAATATAAAGCACTTACAATAACTGTATCTAATTATTAGATACTCTCATAATATAGTTAACATATACATCGTTAACAACAATAGTAATGCTACTAGCTTTGACGCATAGCTATGAAGCTATTGGTTTTACTTTGCCTTGTTTTTTTGTCCATATACAAAATTACTTTCGCTCCTACTGGATTTATATCGTATATCAATGTATCGTTGAGCAAATCGGTATTTCGCTCATTAATACGTTAAATTTCACAAAATCTAGTTGAAGCTATCAGCACTAAAATTTTGAAAATCTGCACTCGCTTCCAATAATAAAGAAAAATGTCCCAAAAAATTGCAGTTGTCAAAACAGCCAAAGTTGATATTTTTAATTTTCACTATACAACTTTTTGAAAACTAGATTGATTGTAGCAAAATTTTTAATGATAAAGATTAAGAAAAGGCGTCATCAAACATTTTATTAGTGTCATGAATTTTGACATAAAGTTTTTCTGTTTGTTTAGCTTCCATGAAGCTAAAAAAGTATTGATTTTACGATGATGTGTTTATTATTATTACTTTTTTTTTTGTGTCTGTTACCACTTTTTCTCAGCTCTCACCGAACCGATTTCTTTCAACGATACGTCAAAATCGTATCGTTGTTCCATTTTAAAAATTTCAATTTTTATTATTTATTTTATTATTAAAATTATCTTGCTTTATTTCCAAGGAGCGCTTATGAAATTTTTAGACTCACGTCAATTGTACAGTAAATAAGAAAGTATATGACTATCTAATTTAGGCTAGCAATTAATTTCTTCACTGTACACTGAATTACAGTGGCTTATTTTGATGTTTATCAAGGCAGCATGACTTTTTTTATTATTATTGTAAACGTAATCAATGACTTATTTGGCTATAAATTAAGGACATCTAGTAGATAATCGTGCTCTAAACTTAGAAAAGTGATTAATCATTTTTCTTTCTCGCAAAAAAAAAATGTCTGTAGAGATACATGTATAATAAAAATACTGGCTTTGTAAAATATGGGTTATACAAGTTTTAAAATTCCTCTCTGCTAAAATTAAGTTTGTTTTCAAATATACATAATTATACTTAAATGCAATTGCTTTTAAAAATATATATAATAAGATAAACATAAAAATACACTATGTGTTTACGTATATTACACAACTTTATTTCAATATTTTATGACTTATGAGTTGGTAGATACTCTTAAAGATTAAAGATTATTTTTTAATTTAACTAAAATTCAAATCATGCTTAAAAACATTAAAATAAATTCATTGTATTATATTCTTAAATAAAAATAAATAGTAACAGTAGTCGAATTTTAAATTTTTAACCATATTTCACTTAATATTAATTATTTATCCTCAAAAACTGAAATGATTAAATCCAATGACCATAATTATAACCCTTTTCTTAATATCTAACCATGTATACAAATATTTGGCTCTTTATTTAAAAATTATAAATTTACTGAAAATAATTAAATAAATTAAAAAAGGTTTTTTAATGATTACCAAAAATTTTAATTGAAGAATTCTAGTTTATTGATATATTCACAAAACATAAATTGATATTAAAAAGAGTTAAACATTAATGGACGATTTACATAACAAAAGATTAGGTTTCACATTTTATACCTGTACTGCTTGTATTATAACTTAATATAAAAAAGTAAATCAACAACAACTTTGTCCAAATCCTCCATTTGTACCGTAACCACCATTTGTACCATATCCACTAGACTGTTGATAAATTGGATTTGGAATAAAGTATGGAATCATTGGAAAATGTTGGTTTAAACCAAAATAATTATTATTGTATCCATAACATTTATTGCAAGATTGCTCACAACAACTATTGCAGGTACATTCGGAACAGCCTTTTTTACACGGAGCAGCCTAAAAAACATTTTGTGCGTATAAAATATATAGACAACAACGTACTATAAATATATATATATATATTGTATAAAATAATAGTGTATCTTAAAAAGTATGATTTTTGATATTTTAGTACATTTAAATTTCAGTTTATTCTCTATCTAATGATGCATGCTTTATAATAAAAAGTGACATAAATATTATCGAAATACAAAAACCCAACACAGGGGGGTCGCGGCACAGTGGTGACGTGGCATAATTGGATCAAGTATAATGATATCTGACAGTGATTAAAATCACTATAAAAAAAAAAACGCTTCGATGCAAATCTTTAGATAGTGTTTAATTTTAAAAAATTGGTGGATTATTCCAAAAGCTTCATAAACTGCTAGTTCCTTATTAATATCCTGATTAAGA